GGGTCTCCTGCAGACAAGGACTCTGGTGTATCCCGCTGTAGATGGGCTTTCTTCTCAGGATCAGGTTGGCTGACTTCTCTAAAGGGCCAGAGAGTAAATGCAGTCTTTGAGGGCCACGTGGCTCTGTGTTGTTGGGTAACACGCCACGGTAGACAAACTGTACACCAGGGCATGGCTGTATTCTATTCGAGTTTTGTTTACAAAAGCAGGTGGCAGACGGGATCAGATGGGGGCTGTGCTTTGCCAGCCGCTGCCCTGTGCAGTTCTGCCAGGGTCTTACCACTGTGCTTGCTCTTTTCTGTTGGAAACGGACCTGGGGAAGCGTAATCTACCTGGCCACCCCTTGATTAATTAGACGTGTAATTTTGAAAGGTAAGTGCTTTCAAGATGAGATGTTCAGCAAAGTAACACAAATAGAAATTTGGCAGTAGGGTTTGATTAATAAAAGATAGAATTTATCTTGTCATTTTGACTAATTGCAAAGGTGTAAAGGCAATTCTGTGAGAATAGATGTTTTCTCAACAAGTGGGGCTGAAACAGCTGGACATCAATGTGCAGAGATGAAACACACCTTCCTCCATATATCACACCTTTTGCAAAAATTAACTGAAAAGGAATCTAGACCTAAAGCATTAAACCATGAACCTCTTAGAAGAAAACAAGAGGGAGTCTTAGAAATGCTGCCAAAAGCATGAACCATAGAAGGCTACCGAAAAATTGGAATTTCTCAAAACTAAAAACTTGTGTTCTGTGCATGTTACTGTTAAGAAAATGAAAGGACAAACCACACACAGGTTTCACGTAGCCTACAATGGTCTCGTACCCAGAACGTACAGAGGACTCTGGAAAAGAAGAGAATAGGGGACCCGATGAGCAAGTGGGCAGAACACCTGAGCAGACATCTCACCTGGAAGGCGCCCACACTGCTAGGTCCTTGCAGAGCGCAGCTGCGCGTGTGAGATCCCACCACCCAATCAGGAGGCCCAGAACCCAGTCAGACTGGCCCGGCCATGCCCAGCACTGGCAGCCGGAAGGCTCCGTCGTGCTGCCGGGGGAGGTTGGGTGCCCACTTTGGAAGACTGTCCGGCAGCTTTTTATGACTGAACACAACTCACAATGTGACCCAGCAGTCCCTCTGTTGGTATTTACCCAAGGGAGGTGAACACACATGTGTACACAAAATATGTAAGTGAATATTCCTAGCGGCTTTCCATGACTGCCAAAACCAGGAGGTGCCAAGCACCCTTCAGCAGTGCGCAGGCAAGCAAGGTGGGGTGTGCCCCTGCAGGCATCCTGCTCAGCAGGAAACGAGAGCAAAGCACATCATGGTGAGTCTCCGTGCTTCGTGCTCAGCAAAAGAAGCCAGATGCAAAAGGTTATGATCTGCATGAGTCCCTTTGTGAACATTCCTGGAAGGACTGACCCAGGGATGGGATGGGAAGCGGGAGTCAGATGGACCAGTGCCAGCTGGGCACAGGGGAGGGGCAAGGGTTTCCGCAAAGAAGCCAGCCCAGCGAGTCGGGCAGGGGGTGGCCGCTCTGCTGTATTCCGGTGGTGGCATTGCTACACACTTGTCATTACTGGGAGAACTGTAGCACCAAAAAGTGAATTTCACTCTATATCAATTATTTTAAAAATACAATAAATTTTTCAGAGACGTTAAGACATATCAGTCAGTTGTGATGTATGGATCCTGAATCAATGAAGTAAACTATTAAACCACTTTTTTAGAAAGAAAGGTGAGTAGCTATGTTAGTATCAGTCAAAATGGATTTCAGCTAAGTAGTATTACTGGGAAAAAAAGGGTCATTTCCTGACAATAAGTGGATCATCAGAAAGAGGATGAAACAGTCCAAAATGTACTAACAGCTCCAAAATAAGTGAGACAAACAGATAGAATGCAAAAGAGAAATAAACAAATCATAACTTTAATCATAGAGATTTTAACACTCCTCTCAACTGTGAGAACAAGACTGCAGGAATCGGTAAGGACATACATTTTCAGCAGGTGCATTTGCTCTAACAAAGTAGCATGGTAATCAGTCTCTGTCTTACTCCACAGTGAGAAAAGGACCCTACAAGGGTCACTGCCTACACCTTCTGCACTGTCTAGTTAGAGCCCCTCGGCTGTTAGACGGGAAGCAGTGCCACTGACCCCTGACCGGGGGGCCCACCCCAACTCCAGCTGTGTGCTGCCCCCTCTGTTTACTCCACTGACCCCTGATGGGGGCCCCACCCCAGCTCCAGTTGTGTGCTGCCCCCTCCGTATATCCCACTGACCCTGACCGGGGAGATCTGCCCCTGCTCCAGCTGTGCGCCACTCCATCCGTTTACCCCACTGTACTAACCAAACAGAACCTTCTGCGAGAGCCACGCAGTGGACCTGGGAGACCAAGTCCACGTGCGGCAGGTCATAGGTGGCTGACAGGTCTGTGACACTCTCCCTGCACCAGGGCTGAGGGACGTGCTGCACCTGTACCTGGTGGCCTCCATGTCCTCTCTGGTGGCATACGCCTCCAGCCCGCACCGCTGTGCAGTGTCCGGTTCCTGCAGCTCTTGCAGCTGGGGAGGAAGACCCCAGGAGGCCCCTCACCACCCCCCTGCATCCGCCTTGGGGTCCAGGATTCTCGGCCCACAGGTTGCCCACTGGGGCCCAGCGACCTCAGTGATCATGAACAGAAGGGCTACAGAGCCCAGCCTGGCTCAGATTTCTGTCCGTGAGAGCAAGAAACAGCCAGCGGGGCTGGGCACTGAGCCGACCCACAGAGACACACCACGACACAGCTTCTCAGACCTCGCGTGGCGTGCTCTGACCTACGTGGTCCTCCCCGCTCGGCTGAGCCTGCATCCCAGGAGTGGACCCTCCAGCAGTTCCATGCGATGTTCTGCGAGTAGGGGACTGTCGGACTTTGCTGTGAATGACCTTTATCTGCGGTTCAGAATTCAGGCAGAGCTGTTTTCCTCTCAGCGCTTTGCCTCCCAGCTCCTAATGCTGCTGACTGAGACGTCGGCCCCCAGCCTCCCTGCAGGGAAGCCCCCATCTTTGGATGTTCCCACTGCTGCTCGGGTGAACGGAGGGGGACCCCGGGCAGGACCGGGAGGACCCCCAGGGCCCATCCAGGCATTGTTTTGGGGAACATCATGGTTAATTCAGAGTGAGGACTCCCTGGGACTCTTGTGGTCCATGGAGACGCCCCCCTGCCTGGAGGGGGTTCTAAACCATGGCATCTGGGCGGAACTGGAGAGGGAATGAAGGACTTGTGTGACTCACTGTATATGAGAAGGAAGGATTCAATAAATCTCCATGAGAATTTATTCTGGCTAATCCTGTTTGTGATTCAGGATTGTCTCACTTTATAAAAGAGCATATGGGTCTTAGGAAATCATAACATTTATTTTATAGCAGCTTCTTATGGAAATGATGAATGTCAAAATATTTTATTCCAATTCTGAAAGAAAATCTCAGCTGTTTTGGCACTTCTTTTTAAAAATAAATGTGTGTGAAGGGGAAAGGCCACTCCTTACTATTCAGGAGAAATACGAATGGGCCCAGGGTCAGAAGAAAGCCATTGTTTCCTCAGAGGGCTAGAAATGTTATTTTTTTAAAAAAGCAAACTAGAAGTAACAGCCATTGACCCAACATGCAATGACAATAATAAGGGATTTTTATTGTTTTAAGTTAATTTATGCATAGGATGCTGAGGGGCTCTTGGTGGCGTTTTTATGCTGTGACGTGCCTACCAATATATTTGCATTAATTTCTACATATGGTTGTTCAAGTTCAAGCATTTACTGTGTCCCTGTTATGGGCAAGACAGGTGTTGGTGAGGCTGGACAGTTCCTGCTATGGAGATGGCATGGGGGGCAGGGGGTGGCCGAGGCCCAGGAGCCTGGGACAGGGTGCGGAGGGGCTGCGAGGGGCCGGTGTGTGAACCAGGAGCTGACCAGGCAGAGAGGAAGAGAAAGGACAGATGAGCAATGGCACAGAGAAGAAGTGAGGATGAGAGGCTTCCGTGCGGCCGGGCACCCGCGGCCAAGGAGACCAGTGGCCTGGAGAGCACAGAGGGGCTGGCCCTGGGAGGGCGTCTGTTCCTCGCACCATGGTAGATACTCCTGGGAACGGCAGACGAGCCTAGTCCTCGCCTCCTCTCCCACGGGGTTTGGAATGCACGCAGTCTGTTTGCTTAAGGCACCAGCCAGATGCGTCTGTGACGTGCTGCTTCATGTCCTGATTGGTGGGGCCTCTTCCCAGCATGCATCCCCAGCTGTAAAAGGTACATAAGCTGTTCACTGACCCCAGGCTTTGGAGCCCTTCCCAAACTCCCAGGTCGTGGTCCTCAGTAAGACTCTGAATAAGACCTTCTTAATACAACAGTCATGTCAATTTCAGTTAACAGAATCATGACTTCTAAAAACTGACAGGAAAAGTACACATAGCAGAGAACTGGAGAAATATGAACACTGACTGATTTTTAAAGTGTGATGGCTGTAAGATTGTGATGATTTTTGGAAGTGTCAGCTTCCTTTAGCGATACTGTACAGGTGAAGCGAGCAGGAGGTCACCCTCAGGAGGCCGAGCGGGGCGGATGGTGTGGATGGAGTCACTGGGGAAGCTGGGCAAGGCACGAACCGGACACATTCTCAGTTCTTGCTCTCAAATTTCAGCGATTTTTTTTTGGATGAAAAATTAAAAAATATTTAAGAGCTCAGCATCGTCTCACTTGCTCAAAATGCCCTCTCAACATGCATGATAAGCAACATTTAATAAGGAACGCTCCTGAAGTTACAAATTAACCCTGCTTTCAGAGATGATGTGACTCGACTGGGTGTTATGACACATTTTGAAAATGAAAGAAGAGAAAAATTTGGTTCCAGCTAAACAAAAACCTGTGTTTCAGGAAACTAAGCTTAAAATCAAACCACATTTAATTCAGCCTAACTAAGCACCCGGATTTATGTCATACACTTGGTGTGCTGGCGTCAACTCTGCTTGTCAGTTGTGCTCTGGTTTTGTCTGTGGTGCAGTGAGGTCACTGTCTGGAGTTACTTTCTCCTGCGTTTTCTTTGCACGTGCTCGTAACATAGAGCTGTGCCCCCTGACTCCCCTTCCAGCCGGCATTCCAGTCCCATTCTGTGTAGGAATGTTCTGCTGAGCTGGCCTGGGACGCAGGGAAACAGTATTTTCAAGGGTTTGAACATGAACGGTAAATATTATGTATCAAATGTTGCCCAGAGTAGGATTTTTCCATTGTCGTTGGACCCACTTAAGTGGCACTAACTCACTCACAGGATAATTACATGGTATCCTTTCTTTTCTCTTGCTTTTTGTTCCTGCTTTGCATTTGTAACTGTTTGTGCTTTTTATATTTTTTAACAGGAGAAGCAATTGTTCACTTCCCTTAACCTCTGTTAGCTTGGAAAATAATTAACCTTTTATTGTAAAATGTCTGAGGCTTGACTGTGTTGTGTTGGGGTTTACATGGGAAGTACCTGAGGAGGCTGGTCTGCTCCAGGTTGCTGTGCTTAGATGCTGAAGTCAATCTCTTTTTCTTCTCATGATGCATCATCCCCACTTCGCCTCTCAGCATTCACGGTCCAGCAGACTTGCAGAGGATGGCATGTGGAGATGTATGCCCCTGCTTACATCTCTCTCAGATGGGTGAGTTAAAATATTTTTAAAGTTCATTATCTTAGTTACATGTAAATGTAAGTCTATTGCATTTGTGCAACAGTATGAGAAAATAGCATCGGAGACTGAGCACTTCATCTGCCTGTGGAGCAAACCCGTACCCAGTGCGTGTTCAGGGCCTGAACAGGGAGCAGTCCGCCTGCTGGGGAGAGGAGCGGGCACGGCTTGAGGAACAGCGGCTGCGTGAGCATGTGCACCTCGGGGTCCAAAGGGCGTCTGAGTCACGTGTGTGGGCCTAAGACGGGCAGCAGCTGCTGTCCTTCCGGGATTCTTCTCCTGTGGGAGAATTTTCCATCTGTGAGAATGTCAACACGCAGGGAGGCGCCAGGGCCCGTGGGAATGAGCCTCCGTGTGACCCCAGAGGCGACGGGTCAGAGCAGGGGCGCCAAGGCCCTTTCCTCGCGGCGGACCGAGCCGGGTCTGTCTGCCTGGCGGACACCCGGTGAGCCGCCGTCCTGTGCGGGGGTGTCCACACCGCGGTCCGGCACAGGAGGCTGCGATGCGCCCCGAGCAAGACGCGTCTGTGTTCGCGGAGGCCCCTGCACAGCCCCCACTGCTGCCGCTGCTGCCCCCCGAATTTCAGAGGGACCCCACTTGGGTCGGAGCCCTGTGTAGCTGTGAGGGGTGCAGGGACCAGGGAGGGGGAGATAGGTGTTGGGGACATGCATGACCTGTGTAGCTGTGAGGGGTGCAGGGACCAGGGAGGGGGAGATAGGTGTTGGGGACATGCATGCTGGGTGTGAATGTGAATGTGATCCAGTCCGAGACAGTGACGGGGCTTCTGCTCCTACCCTTCCCCCAGAGCTCTGGGAGTTGGTGTCCATCTGAAAAAGTTCCTCCACTGAAAACCGAGAGGCTCCTTCTTGGTTGTTTTCAAGTAGCCATCTTTAAGGACGCAAACTCCAAAAGTAAAGCAACTATCATGGTTGAAGGATTCTTGCCAGCTGTTGAAGGATTCTTGCCAGCTGTGAAGATGAAACAGATAGCATTATTCTAAGTCCTAAGCGGCTGCTGTCCTCCCTGCATCCTGGCATGATCTGAAAGCCCCTTAAGAGCTCACGCATCTGCTACAGTCAGAGGTCTCCCCCCGCCCCCACCCAGGAAGTGCACGTGCATCTGCTCAGGGAAGGTGTAAGAGAGACAGAAGGCTGTGCAGTGTTTTCATAAATAACTGAGACGTTTCAATTCTGGAAGGAAAAAACAGGGCAATAGCTCACTGCCCTCTGACCACTTTCTGACCTAACACACGGTTTGCGTTGTCTTTTGACTGAATGGGCCAGTTAAGCTTGGACTGCGTGTGTCCTGGTCTCTAAGCTTTTAGGTCACTTGAAGGTCCCAGTCAATCACAGCGCTCTCCAAAGTCCTTTTATCAAAATAACAGCATTTGCTTGACTTGGCCAGAGGTTCACCAGGTTAAAGAATCAATCTGATTAAGCCGATCAATTAGATTGAAATCTCCAAGGAAGGGCCACGCCTGGACGGACGCTTTACTGTCCCCAGGGGGCGCTAATGGGAGTCCAGACTGAGCATTGGGCCAGTGGACCGGACACACGTGCACCTTCAGGGCCAAGAATATACGTTCACATGGTGAGTTTATTTCAAATAGTCTTTGAAATGTCTCCAATCTTCCATTGACCAAACACAGCTGGAAGAACATACAGGGCCTGTTGGTGCCTAGGTGCCCTGTGAAATAAACTGCAGTGAATGAGCCTGACGCTATGGGATTACAGGGGGTGGCCCAGCTGCCCCAGAGAGGGTGCTGGCTGGTTCTACATGTGAAAACCCCAAGTTCCTTGGGTAGCAACAGTATATGAATTACATTCCTAACTAACGATTGTCAGCAATGCCAACCATCACACATAATGGGAGAAAGCATTTTAAAACACCAAAAGAAAATACACAAACTAGTATATCATCTCACCCAGCACTGTAAGCCCGGTTCTGTGGGGATGGGCTCCCACGGGCTGCCCCACACATTGGAAGCTGGGCTGGGAATTTCAGAGGGACCCCACTTGGGTCGGAGCCCTGTGTAGCTGTGAGGGGTGCAGGGACCAGGGAGGGGGAGATAGGTGTTGGGGACATGCATGACCTGTGTAGCTGTGAGGGGTGCAGGGACCAGGGAGGGGGAGATAGGTGTTGGGGACATGCATGCTGGGTGTGAATGTGAATGTGATCCAGTCCGATATTGTATAACCACATAGCAGGAGGGGTGGCGCATGAAAAGACAGGTGTGGTTGTGTGAAGGACTGATTCATAAGTGACAGATGAACGCGGGCAGAGGGAGACGCATTCAAGCTCATCACCCAAGGGAGATTTTCTAAGAACCCAGGTGTGGCAGGAGACCCAGTGTGTGCTTTCTGTGCTGGGTGAGACCTGTGTTGAATTCCAGGGACAAAGTTGGCATCATGGCTTACAGACAGACAGGCAGTGGGAAGAGCCACACTGAGCTGGGTGTGCCTTCTGAGGACGCACCTGTCCTGCGGGGTGAATCCCACGGTGACTCAGGAGCATCCCCAGCACCACTGAAGAGCTCTTCAGGGACCTGCTGGTGGCAGTGAGCGCAGAGCTGCGGTGCTGTGCTGGCAGTGACAGATGGGGGCCGCGCCCACCCCTCGCGAGGGCCACACCCACCACCCCCTCTCAAAGGGCATGCTCACCCCTCTAACAGATTTATCACATGGAAACCCACTGTTTAAACGCTCCAGGTGTTACGACCACAAATGCTAGAAAATCCTATGGCACACTTGCCTTGAAATTCTATCCTTACGATAAAACTTGAAAGAGATCCGTAGTTAATTCTCCAGCAAGAGAAGGAAGGCAGAGGATGGAGCTTTTCTAGAATGCTCTAGGATGTGCAGGCGACCGAGGGAGAGCCCCACTTTGTCTGCCTGCTTCCTGCCGCAGAGAGGGTGGGTGCAGCTGGGACTCTGCGTGCTCTGAGTGTCCACTGACTCCTCCCTGGAGAGACCCACCGCCGCTGTCCCGAATCTGCCAACACGGTTACTTCTTGGAGAAAAGTACTGTCAGGTTGTCCTCAGCAGCTGGAGTCAGCAGGGGATCCTGGAATAAAGCTGCAATCCTGATGTTTCTTCCCATTCGCTCGGTCAGTGTCCCTCCTGTTCTTCGAGGAATCACTTAGCAAGATGCTCATTTTCATTGTTTGCTCACTGCTTGGTGAGAGCCATAGGCTTGCTCTGTGGCCACATGCCGTGTACTCCCAATGAAACTTTCAGCTGCTCCAGAGGAGGTGCCTTCCAGCAGTGTATTGGCGGGGCAGCTGGCTGCCCTTCTGTGCTCCTGACCCCCCCGATAGTCAGGTTTCATCTCTGTTTTCTTGCCTAGTGATTTCATGCCTTAGAATCAGAGCCAAAGACATAACTCCCACAATGCTGCCGGACACTGAGCAGCAGCCACGTCGGAATGTGGCAGAACTGAGGTAGCTTGCGGCTTTCCTGGGCGGTGTTTGGAAAGAGGGATCCTGGAGATCCATGTGTTGGCGAGAGGATCTGGCCACATTTGCTGTGTAGAAGGGGCCCCTGGGGAGAAGCTGGCAGTCTGGGCTCGTTTGCTTATTCAGCATTTGCAAAGTGCCTGCTCTGCATGGCATCTGTACTGGGAACTTCCAGGGCTGCCCAAGTCCATGGAGAGAAGCAGCAGGGGTGCAAGTCACTGAATCATCAGCCAGTGAGTGTCCTTCCTGCTCAGTCAACTCTCAAGGCCCAGACACGGAGGAGAGGCTGTAGCATGACCAGAACTCAAGTCACACATGGGGTGAGAATGGTGGGCGGGGGGTTCAGAGCATCCTCCCCCAAGTTTTGCACAACCACTGTCTTCTTATCTTCAGTGGCAACTCCAGAGCCCAGGAAAGCCTGGATCGATGGAGCAGATGTGCCTTGATTGACTCTCAAGAGTTTTGCTTCATCGTGTTCCCAGTGTGAGCTGTGCACTGGCTTCAAAGTCTCTTTCAGACTTAAGCTGGATTTATAGATAGAAATATTCATGTAGCTCAGACAAGGTGCTGGTCACTGAATATGTCATGTTTCTCTGGTTTGAAGCTCTTCCACTGAGGACAGAAGACAGGCCTGGAGACCATGTGACTCAGGGATGAACTGCAGCTGGTTGACAATTCTACAGAAGGTGATCAGTTGGGAAAATGTCTGGGTGGTCAAAACCATGTATTCCAGAAACAGAATAATAAATCGTGGTATCTCGTAATGGACAAGTGTTTAAATCACCTCATTTCCAAAGTAGGGTTTTAATGTTTTGAGCCTTGGGCATGAAATCATAATGTACAGTGTTGCAGGTGTCCTGCAGAGCACAATGGCCCAGAGACTTGGAACCCTCAGTATGCAATTGTGAGTCTCTGGTTTTCTGATCAAGCGGCCATAGGCAAGCCTCACCTCGCTAAGCATCACATCCATCACAGCAATAGTCTGAGCATAGGACACGGCTCACCTCTTTGTTTCCTAATCACAAGTTGACGAGACCTGGAGAGGAACAAGGTCGGCCATGTTCATGTGTGAGTTTGCATGTGCTTCAGCTCATCAGCTGCACATACAAAACCGTGACACCCTCAGGCATTGGTATCGGGATGTTCATATGAACTGTTGACCCTGAAAAGGCATTCTGCTGCCTTTCACAGGCATAAAATAAGATGCCAGCTGGGGACTCTTCCTGCCTTACATCCTCTCCTGTCTCCCTCTGGCCCCAGTTGCTGACACCACATCCTTCTAGACTGACCTCTGTTATCATTCTTATCAACAAAATTTACAAGGCTTTTCTACATGCTGGGCACTGCAGACAGCACAAGGGATAAAAAGTGCACAGGATGACTTTGAACCCTCAGAAAGTCTAAAGTGGAACAGACAGACAATTAAACCCTGCTCAGCACAGGGCAGATCCCTTGTCAACTCCTGAAGCCAGAGTCCCTTGGCATCCAGCATCTGCTTGAATCTGCACAGTGTGGGAGCTAAGTCCCTACCACCCCAGGATTGGGGGAGCCACAGAGCACTGGATGGAGTGACAATATGTTCTGAGAACTCCCCAAAGCAAAAAAGGAGATTTTCAGGCAGGCTACCAAAGAGCAGATCTTACCGCTGCAGTGCTGTCTGAGTTCCCCAGGCGACAGGAACTTACAAGCCCAAATCAGAGCTCTCAGCAGCCCCTCCCTACTTGTCTGACATAAAACAGAAACAGAGTGAAGATTTGTGCTTATGCCTAGAAAATATAATGAAATAGCAAAGTAATAAACACGCTTACTGCTGGAAGAGCACAGAGACAAAATGCAGTAAGTTGAGTAACAAGAGGTCTTTAAGGCAAAGTACACACTCGAAGAAAGGGAATGCGGGCAGCCTCATAGAGGGGTGTGCTTAAGGGCTTAGGATTCTGCCTTTTAACGCTCCCAAGGATGGGCAAAGGGTGGTGGGCCCTGGGGGAGGGTTGAGGTAGGCTTGACAAGTGGTCTTATGATCTCTCTCTCCCGTGAGAGACGTTGTGTCACCACCCACAGTCAGTCCTCTAGATATCCTGTAAGATAAACTTAACACAAGGAATTTATTGATCCTGTTCCTCTCCAAGATAGTGCTTATCCTCCAGCACCAGGAACATACCAGTTGGGACTGCCTGCCCTGCCTTAAGGTAGATTGTTGGCTGATTAGTAAAGAATATGTTAGGAATCTAACTCCCTGGTTGTTAAAATAGAATCTTAGCCTTCAGATGGGGTCCCTCTGCTCTTACTGTACTGTTTATATCTTGGCATTCCCCACACAGGAAATTTAACCATGATGCTTGTCCCATGTCCCTGCCCACCTTAGTAGCATCTGATCAGTGTTATTATCTCCTGCTGATGAAAGTTCTGATTAGCTGTCACATCTCACGGAGATAGGGAAAATAAGTTTTATTTCATAAATTTGACTTGGTAGATAAAATATTTTACAATCTTGGAGTCCATGAGGGTATAATAAATAATGGAATGCTGTGTGTTGAAAAGTTCAGGAACCTCCATTTGATTATTTCAAAACGGTTGATTATTTCAGAGTAAAGCCGTTAGAGATACAAGTCAACCAGGCCCCATAAGAGTAACAGTTTAATTTGTTGTTTTATTTTGCCTTAGATGTGCTTCGGCCTGCTTTCCTAAAACAGGTACACTTAGCTGATTAAAGAGGTTTTTGTTCCGAGAAGAGTATGCCCGGTGGCCTGAGGGCGGGGCCACATCGGCGTCTCCCACCTCCCACCGGCCAGGCCTGTCCGTGGCTGCCAGAGCTTGTGACTCGTCGGGAGCTGCCCGCGGCTCAGGGCGAAGCAGGCCTCCTCCATGCGTGCCAGCTCTTCCAGACCGCAGCTGATAGTAACCGCGGCCCTGACCGCAAACCCGACCTGCGGCAGCCCTGGTGGCCTCTGGTGCTCAGCCAGTTGTGAGAGGAGAAAGTCAGCATGCCTGCAGGGGTCTAGACGTCACACAGATCCTGAGGGCGGGAGCAGGAACCACAGCTTCGGAGGACCTGGGACCCAAAGCCGAGAGACCACAGGGATCCCAGGCTGTTGAAATTGGCATGGGAGGGAGGAAAACACTTGGTTAAAGAAGATGGACACAGGAAGAAAGGCAGGACGTACTGGCACCTGGGAGTATGACGCTCTCATCATGACTGAGACCATAAGTGTGATTTCTGTTTAGAAAGACAGTTACGAGCCAGTATATAAAATGCTTGCAGTCACTTAAGGAAAGTAATGCATGTACTGCAAGGATCTGAATATCTTATCAGTCATTAAAGTCCAGGGCAGTGCCCACAGGAGCCCCTGCAGGATGCCACCCCAGCAGTCTGCCAAAGGGCCAGGGCCTGGGATTTGCGTTTCCACAAGCTCCTGGTGCCAGAGCCCCACTCAGAGAAGGGTTGGTGCACACCCCCACTTCATACTGCAGCCACCAAGTCCAGGTTTTTGCGGGCTGACACTGGAAAGGCCATTTCTCAATGGGGTCTCAGGGCAGTGTGCCCCCAACACTCCAGACCCATCTTGTCATTAGGCCACTTGAAACGTGGCCTCCAAGACAGTCCAGGCAAGGGAGGAGAGAGGCAGCCTGAACACCCAGCAGCCCAGAACACACGCACTGAAACCCCGGGGGAGCCAAGGTAGCCTCAGTGACCCTTCTCCCACATGTCACTCCCCAGCAGCAGATGGACCGTCCAACCAGCCAGTGCCCGAGAAGCGTGGCTGCCCCCGGCCCACAGGGAGGAAGAGGGGCACTTTCTGCAGAGCCTCCCGAGAGGGCCCCATGCTGCCTGGGGAACAGGCGCGCGCCCAGCTGCCACTTGTGGACTTGGTGGGCGGCGAGTGTGCGGGTGAGTGAGAGAGCATGAAGCCGTTCCCTTGGGGTACCTGGGGGTGCAGGGGTCCTGACAGAGCCGACAGGGAGCAGACCGCCCCAGGGAGTCCTCAGCCTGGCGTGCCTACAGATGATCTCCAGTCCCTTTACACCTCATTGGACTGCCATCCTACCATGCAGCTGTCCACGGAAACCCAAAAAATAGTGCTCTTTCAGCGGCTGTGCAGTGGTGACCTCATTCCCAACTAGAGCTTCAATGCTGGTGGCTGTGCATATGGTTCTTTCCTTGGCATCGTGCAAATTTGGTGCAAATCCTACCTGTGTGGCTGGATCCTTGCACCTTCTCAGGTGTGTCTGGAGTGACAGCCCTGAGGGAGACTTCATTTATCCACCGGAGCCTGGCGGCCCTCGCCGATGTCCTGGGTGCCCTGTCGGAGTGCAGGGGCCACACCCTGTACCGGAACAGCAAACTCACCCACCTACTCCAGGATGCTCTCAGTGACAGGGGCCTCTGCGGAGGGGAGCCTGTGTGTGCCTCACCGTGCATCCCCTGCCCTGTGCACGGTCACTGCCACGGGCAGCTTGCACCTCCTCCCGGGACTTGCTGGCTCTCTAGGTCACTTGTCCCTTACCTCTGGTATGTGCGTGACTGGCCCTTCTGGTTGGGTCCTGAGTCCTACACCATGGCTTCCATGCCCTCTCTGTCCTCCTACTGTGCACACAGTGGGTCTCCAGGTTGTGGGCCCTCTGCTGAGTTCTGGATGCATGCACGCTGTGCTGTGCCCTCAGGGCCGTGTGCACACTCACCTGTACCTTGTGTTGGCTGGGGCCCTTGGCAGCAGGTGGCAGAGACCCAGGCTGGGCCAGTTTAAGCATGGGGCAGCCTGGGGGATAGGGAGGAGTTGAACCATCAGGCTGTGGGTTTGGGGGTTTGAGGTGGCACTGTAATAGGTGGGAAGCTCCAGCTGGCAGGTGGGCTCCTGACGCTGAGCCTCCTGATCAGACTGTCGCCAGAGGCAGCTCTCCACCAACCCAGGTGTCTGCCGGGGGCTCTGCGGGGTCCTCCCAAATCTGCCAGTGGGTTCCGTGGCTTTCCTTCCTTGGACGACGCTGGTCACGGGAGGCTAGGGAGCTGCTTCCACAGGAAGCAACGGGGGAGAGGGAGTGAGCAGCAACACCAGGGGTGGGAAGGGGGCACACACGGGGCTCCGGCAGCTCGGCGCCCATGGGTAACTGAGGGGAAATGTTCTAGGGCTTCATCTTTCTCTCGTCGGGGGGTCTGTCTCCCTGCACTCTGCCTCTCCACAGGGTGCTGAAGGGGCAGCTCCCCGTGGCATTATGCAGGTCGTGCTCTGAGATACTCTGACTGGGTGTGCTCACCCCACTGGTGAGAGTGGTGGGCTGGCACGGGGCCTCTGTGGCCTGTCCCTGCACTGTGGGCATCTCCAGGGGCCCCTCACTCCCCCTCTGAGCCTGCGTCTCACTGCTGGGCCCACCTGCATGCCCAGGGCCTTAAGCCCTGGGAGGGGTGCAGCCCGGACAGAAAGCCCTAGGCTCCCCCTCCATCCCCATCCCTCCATCTCCCTGTGTGGGCAGGGGCCCTGGTGTGTTTGGCCTGGGGGCACCGTGCAAAGCCGGGCCCCCGCACCCAGAAGCAGCCTGTGCCGATTCTGGCTCCTGGTGCCCTGTGGCGGTCACTCCGTGCTGAGGGGCTGCAGCCAGGAGGCCAGGCTGGGTACCCTCTGGTGCCCTCCCATCCAGCCTGGGCCCACCGCATGTAGCCAGGCCAGTTTTCCTATCTGGTGGCCGCTGCTGCCTTCCTCAAAGGTGGTGACGCAAAGCTGCCCATGATTCTGCGTGTCCCCTAGCCCGACGTGCAGCAGAGATGCAGTGCCTGGAGGTGGGGGCCCAAGCCCAGCAGGTGGAGCAGGGCCAGGCTGGAGGGGGCCGTGCAGCCCCTGCAAGTCCAGGGGAGGGCGGCGCTGACGGGCACCCCTCCTACCAATGCTTCCCTGTGGGTGCCTGCGTGCATGCCCTCAAGATGAACTCACCTCATCTGGACTGAGTGAGCCCAGCTCCCCTCTGGGCACCCTGAGATGAGCTCCCACAGTGACCACAGCATGGGCTCTCTGAGGAGCCTCCTTGGGGCATGGGTGGGCTTGGGGTACCCGGGGTGAGCCGCAGGCAGGAAGGGGTGCGTGCAGAGCAGCCTCAGTCCCTTGGCACAGGCCAGGCAATGTCCTGGACTCAGACACAGGTTTCCCCCCCGGGCTTGGTCTCTCATTGCGGCTGAGTCCCTGGACACAAGGCCCTGTTTTCTCATCTGCAAAACAGGCCGCTGTGGGGAGCCGGCTGCCCATAAGCCAGAGGGCAAACGCTTTATTTGTGAGGCCTGCTCCAAGGACCGTTTCCCAAGCCCATGTCCCGAGCTGCATTTGATGGGCGCCCCGTGGCACACCCATGGCTCTCAGACCCCTGGGTCTGTGGACGGGACTCAGGCGTCCTGGGGTCCTGGGGTCTTGGGTGAGGAAGCAATGCAGGAAGCATGCAAAAATCGGCCGGAAGCCCAGAGCCAGGTCTGCCTGTGTGAACGTTTATCCTCCTAAAGGGACTGGAGGTCCAGACAGGCACCTCCAAGGGGGGGGCCACGTCATCGCCTGGGGCTGCATACCTGAGGCTGGTCCTCACTGTGCCCTGTGCAGGGCCCCAGGCAGAGCTCTGCACCGTCATCCCACTGTCTCCAGCTCCGGAACCAGCCTGTGAGGGACAGATGGCGGTCATCCAAAGGATGCTAGGCCGTGGACCCCACGGGGCCAGCAGCAGGTGACAACGCAGCTCCATGTGCCCACAGCCTGGGCCTGAGCTGTTCTTCAGGGTAGAGCAGAGGGCAACCAGCCGGGGCGGGGAAGGCCCACTGCCCGCCGAAGCATCTGCCTTTTTCCCACAAGCATGGCCTTTGCCATGTTCTCTGCCCTCCTCGCAGCCATCACCTTCCTGCGGGTGAGAACTGGGCTGCAGAACATGGAGCCTGCTGCTCTGGGTGCCCCTTGGGACTGTCCTGCGAGATGGGCCACTGATACCGAACCTGAGTCACTGGGCCTGGACGTTGGAGCAGGTTGGCCGGACCCTGACAGGCCGGGGACAGGAGCATTCGGAGGAGGGTGGGGAGCAGGCCCACAGGCGGAAGCCAGCACTGGGGGCTCTGGCAGCGCACTGCACTGGCTGCGGGGCCCCAGCCCCCAGAGAGGCCACGGGCCTGGCCTCAGAGCTGCTCTGCGATGGCAACAACGCCAAACTCGACTCGGACTTTGCGTCGTTGACAGGAACAGAAAACACCTCATTTGCTGAAGAAGAGGAAATGGGATCTTGGCCTTCAGGGCGTGTGTCACTTGTGGGACTGCTGGGGCGCATTCCCAGACTTCAGCGCCTCGTGACTCCCGGACCGCTCCCTGTGCACCGTGGGGTGTCCACGGTCCACACACCGCGTGTGTCTGTCTGCATGCTTCCCGAGGCCTGTGCATCTCCCAGAGGACCCTGGTGGGGGACAAAGGGAAGGGGGTGGGGGGGAGCCTGTGGCCGGGCCTTGGGCCCACCTGGCTGGCAGCCCTGAGCACTGTCCCTGCTGTCACCACACATACTGCTGGCCCTCCACGGGGAGCTCACTGCCCACATTGCCCTGTGTGCACGGGGATGCGTGAACAGTGTGGCCAAGCTCTGCCCCTGCACCTCCACGACCAGACCCGGGTCAGCCCGCCCCGGGTCTGCCCCTGCATCCATGCCCTGAACAGGATGCAGTGCCCTGTGGGCACACGGGAGCCGGCGGGCGGAGCAGGGCCTCTCAGGTAGCCAGGCATCCGCGCCCAGCCTGCCAGAAGGGCTGGCGGAGGGTGCTGGCCTGTCCTCAGGATCCTGGGCAGGTAATCGCTTCAGGTTACCTGCCTCCCAGACTCGGACAGCCGAGCTGCCTGCCCAGGATGACCAAAGCCTGGGGCACCCCAGCTCCCTTGTCTGGCTGCCTGGCCCCATAAGAAGAGCTCCCCAGGCACGGTTCTTGCCAGCCCAGCCCTGAGGCCAGGCCCACGGGAAGGCTGAGGTCCACCGTGCGCCCCACAGTCATGGGGACCCCACACCCCATGGGGTTTGTCTCTCATGCCTTGTTGGGCCTTGCCCATGAGCACAGCTGTATCCCCCTTCCTCAGAGGGCCCCAGCGCGCGTGTCCCGCCTGAGAACCAGAGAGCTGGCGTCGAAGCGAGGGCTACAAGCGCTACATGTCCATCTGCAGTTTCTGCTGAGGCCTGACCCTTGGCCGTGTGCCACTGCGTCTGCTTGTTGGCAAGAGTGGTGAAGGGACCTCGGGGGGAAAGGGGGGTCCCTGGGAGGCTGACTGTTACAGGGCCAATGCAGGGCCCCCCACTGGCAGCTGCAGGAAGGGCAGAGTGGGTGGTGACAAGGGCCACGGGTCGGTGGGGGAGCAGCGGCATTGTGGTGAGTCAGCAGGGCTGCCTCCAGCCCTCCAGTGTCCCCCAGCCCACCTCAGCGTCCCCCAGCCCACCTCAGCATCCTCAGCCCTCCGCAGTGTCCCCCAGCCAACTTCAGTGTCCCCAGCCCACTTCAGCATCCCCCAGCCCATCTCAGCATCCCCCAGCCCACCTCGGTGTCCCCAGCCCACTGACGCATCTTTGCAGAGAGCAGAGATGACATGGGGCCATCTGACCAGAGGCCCTAGGACAGAGTCCCCATGAGGGCCTGGGCAGTGCAGGCCAGCACAGTGAGGCTCCTGCATCATGAGGCGATGTGGACACCTTGCAGGAAAAGGATGCAAGACACTGAATTCTAAAGTAGGTATGAAAACAAGTACCTAGATGAAAATTTAAAAGCCATCAAGTCACAACTTTTCAAGGCTGGGGCATAGCAGATAATCAAGGGTCGCTTACCCCGCCCTCCCTGTGTTTTCCAGTTGTGGTCTTGTGGCCACAGGATGTGGTGACACAGCCCTGCTCCTCCAAGTGTGGCTGATTGGAATTTTTTTGATGCTTGTGGGTTAAGGGTGGTCTTCTCTTCTCAGCTCATTACTGGCACAGCGCAGAGAGCCGTCAAGGAAGGAGGTGCAAGCTGCCGGCTTGCAGCCCTCGCTGCCTGCCCTCTGCACGCAGAGCACCCTCTTCCCGCCAGCCCCACATGCTGGAGCTGTGGTCCCCCTGGCCCTGTGGGGAGATGTGGCAGCGCAGGGGTGCTCCTGGAAGCCGTGCTGTCCCTGTCCTGCTGGCAGGAGTGAACGACCCTCTCGGGCGGCTCCCGCAAACCCACGCTGAGGGCGGCTCACAGTCTGCTTCTGCTCAGCGATTCAAAGTGCCTACCGGCCCCAGCTCCTCCCAGGACCCCAAGGAGGGTGATGGAGAGACCGCGGGTCTTAACTGCTAACGGTTAAAAACACCATCATTTTGCAAAACTTACAGGACTGTGTATCGGTGTGAACATCCACACGGAGCCCGAAGCTCACTCTTCGCCGGCCTCATGGGCAGTTTGCCTCGCCTGGCAGAAGAGAGCCCCCAGCCACCCCGACAGTGACTGTGGGGCAGACACCCTCTTTCTGCCAGCTTGAGTCTCAAAAGCCGGGTGGCAGTTCTTGGCTGCCTACCAGGGTGAAAGACATCTGATATGCAGCCTGGCTCTGTCTCCCAAGAGGAAGTGGGCCTGGAGACCCAGGGCCCACAGGGCGTACAGGTTGCAACGAGGGTGACTAGGTTAGACATGCACTCTGGACTCCTGGGTCCATCTCCCTCCACTGGGCACCCCAACCTAAATGGCCCCGGGGTCAGTTGGGGCCCCCAACCCCACAGACAGCCTCTCCAGTTGCCTTGAGCCCCTCCCCAAGGGTAGATGGGTGGGAATTGTCCAAGTTGCAGGTTCCTGGCAAGACCTGGCGGCTGACCTGGGGGTCAGCAGGGAACAAGCCCTTGGGGTTCTCATGACTCTAGCCAGCTGACTTGACCTCTGGCCCAGCCAGGCTAGGGGAGGCTGGGGGTTGATTCAGCCTTCGTTTTCTTGAGCTGTTCACCCACTTGGGGGTCAGCAGGAACCTGGATGGGCCAGCTGCCTTGACAAGTGTGGAGGGAGACATACAGGAGCTCTGCCTTGTGCCCCCGCCCCCCACCCCACCCTCTGCAGCCCGTCCAGTGCTGGGGGCCACAGGGCCCACCTCCCTCACCTCGGCTTCGGGGTGTAGGTGAAGCCGGTTGGCCCTCAGCCAGCTGACCCGCCCCTTCTCACAGACCTCCCTTTCCCATCCTGGGTAAGACCCCTTTTCCTGGAAGACACCTGTTTTACCTAAAGACCTTTGGTCCGAATCTGTGCAGGAGAAAGTGGTTGTCTGACTTTCCAAGAGCCCCCTTCCCATCCTCAGAAAGGAGCCGGCCCTCTCCTGCCCGCCTTTTCCTTGGCTGTGTGTGTGGCTTTGACTTCTCCCGAGGGGGTGGGAGCAGGGATGGAGGCTGCCCTGGGGGTGGAGACCCAGCAGAGGCCCCCTCTTGGCCTCTAATTATCCTCCCCACTTACTCGGCAACCAGAGATTACCCTGCTGTTAACAGACACTCAGCATAATTTTGCACGTCCGTCCACGAGGCACAGAGGAAGGACAGAAATAGGAACCCCTGGCAGGATCCTAGCGGTTTATTGGGGTTGGCCAGCGGTCCTGGCCCCTTACATCTGCCAGGGACGCAGGGCTCTGCTCCCAGCCTCCCTGGTGCCTCGGGGCAGCCGCCCTCAAGGTCAGGATGGGTGGAATCGGGTGTGTCGGGAGAGGGCAGCCCTGGTGTGAGGCTCCCATCTGCACGGAGAACCCCGACATGCCCAGTCCCCCATCAGGCCCCGGCCACCCCCTCCCAGGGTCACTCCCACACCTCCAGGCCCTTCCTTGGCACCCAGCCTGGGCAGCCGCTGGGCACAGGAGCCTCAGCGTGCCGCCAGCACTCTCTAGTGGCAGCCAAGGACGGCCCAGTGTCCTGAAACCAGGGGCCAGGCGCTCTTCAGTCCCTGCCAGGGCTCCAAGCAGGCCTCCCGCGGAAGCTTCCCTCCGCCCACCACATGGGCCCGCCGTGCCTACCCACGTTCCTGTGTGTGTGCACGCATGAGTGGCGTATGCGTATGTGCAGACGCTGGCACCAGCAGCCCCTTGCTGCCCATCATGACCTCACCCCGACGCCCTCTTTGTGCAAAGGGAAATCCATCTATCCAAATGTTCTTTAAAGGAAAAGCCCCATTTTTTACTGCAGTCTTAGCATGATGTCAGAAAATCCAGGGAAAGTGGGAGCTCTGACCCCAGACAGCTGTGGACACCCTTCCCTCATCCACCCAGCACTTGCCAGCACATAACCTGCCTCTGCAGTGAGGGGAAGATGGCGAGTAGGTCACTGCATCCCCCGGCCCTCCCTCCCGGTGTGCTGCCCTTTGGTGACTCCAGAGCACAGAGGAAGGGGGTTTCCCGCCACGTTTCAGGAGCGATGAGGTAACTATGAGCTCCACAGGCATGGGGGTCCTCCCTCCAAGTCCTTCTGTCCATGCAGCACTGGGTCAGGGTGGTGGCTCACGGGGTGACACCCTCAGTGGGCAGCGCACACTCCCTGGGTGAGCCGGCCAGCAGCGAGGCCGCACCGCCCAACCCCAGCCCACCCAGTGGAGGTGGCCAAGCTCGAGCCACAGGCGTGCTTAGGTTTGGTTCTTTATTATATGTGCTCCATGTGTACGCACACAGCATTTCCTTTCACAGAAAAGATCCTTGCTGCACACACACATACACACACACACACACACACACCCCTGGCTCGTGCTCTGCCCTCCATCTCCAAAATGAGGCTGATGTGGAATGGCCCAGCCTGAGCAGAACTCACAGGGCGATGATGCCGTGGGCACAGGGCCTGGTGGGAAGGGGCTTACGGTGGCCCCTGAGCACTCAGGACGAACAGGCGGCAACCTGCGTTCAGTCCGTCTCGATAAGGAGCCAGCGGGGCTGTGCCTGTAGGTCCTGCACAGGAGCCAGAGGGACCCACGGGCCACCCTGCACCACACCTTGGGCCCTCAGGGCCCAGGCTCGGAGGGTGGTCATGCCCATCACACCCCTCCTGCTCCAGATGGGCCCCTCTCAGTCCTGAGAGGCTGTGGGGCACCTGGGGCCAGGAGGTAGGTGACATGTGGCACCAGGGGTCACACCACTGTGTCCTCCCCCAGCTGGGCCCGACACGGCACTGCATGTCCAGGTGGCAGCGGGCTTTGAGGAGGGCCACTGCAGGCAGGACCCTGGCATTGTAGGAAAAGCACAGCCAGTAACTAGGGCCTCCCAGCCTGCAGATGTCCATGGTGCCCCTGACCGCTCAGGACTGCCCCACAGGACACCACTGGGCCCGCTGGGGCACCTGCCCATCTGCTGTCACATGCCGCCTGCTCTGGAAGCACCCTCACAAGTCAGGAGCCCCTTACCCCCCATCATCCATAAGGAAATGGTCCAGAGTTTGGGCTCCAGGGGGCCGTCCAGCCGAGTGCCCATCACACTGAGCTGCTCATTAGCCTCTTCAGGCACGACAGTATGACAGCCGTCTTCCAAAACAAAAACACACTTGTAGAGTCACTGTTTGCAGAGACCACCAGCCCCACTGGGCTGTGAAGGCAGATGCGAGGCCTTGGCTAGAGGTGCGGTCACAGCTCACGAGAGCCTCTCCCTGTACGTGCAGGAGAGGGTGCGGTGCATAGAGAGCTGCTCCACACTGGTCTTTCTCTGCCCCCACCTTCCATCTCACCTTCCTACACCAGTGGGGGCCTGGTGCCAGCGATATCAGAAGGGTCACAAGCATTGATACCCCCCTCCCCCAGCTGATGACCAGTCATTGTTCCCACCTGCCCTGATGCCCTTCAGACTGGAAGGATGTTTGCAGGAGGCGGCGGGACACAGGACATGTCACTGGGTGATTCCGAAGCTTGACTTGTGATGGGAAGGAAGGCAGGGACTCTCCCTCCTGCGTCTGGGGGCTTCCTTGTGGCAGGGAGCGTGGTCCATTCGGAACAGACCGTGGCTTCACCCATTAGCCAGCCTGCCTCTGACTTTCAGCTTCTGGGTTTTATGAGCTCTGTGGGGACCTGGCGCCCACGTGGCTGTGCCGCCCCAGGCCCGGTGCCTCCTACGGTGTCGGCTCTCCTCGGATGGTGGCCCAGGGGCATCCACTGGCCAGGCCTGGGTGGCAGAACTGAGGCTGTGAGCAGCGGGCATTAAGAGTGCGGCCCAGAGGAAGGCTGGTGAAGTGATAAAAGCTGTGACCTTGAGCTCAAGGACTCCCTGATGGCTTCTGTGGTTGGTCTGATCATCCTCAGGGAGTCGGCAGCAGAGGGAACCCCAGGGGTCTCTCCAACGTCTGGAAGCAGCTGGGACGCCTTCCGCCCAGATTCCATGGGCCCCCGGGGGCCAGCCCTGCCCATTCCCACTCACCTGGAGGCTGGACGGGCAGAAACGGGCAAGGGCCCGAGGACAGAGCCGCACTGCGGGACTGATCCGCAGAGCCATGTGGCGTGGCTGGGGCTGCGCTGCAAGGACAGACGACAGAGCTGCTCATACGGATGGAGGCTTGCTGCATGGACGAAACCCTGTGAGGCGTCTACACCACGAACTCTGGGGCCTGGGGCTCCCCTGGTGGGCTCAGGGTAAGGCAGTCTGTGGACCTCCTGGAGCGTGGAGTGGGTGCCTGGCATGTTGTACAGTCAAAGGGGCACACGTCGCCCAGGCTGTGGCTGAGCTGGGCACTCTGTCCAGCTGCCCTCTCTGCCTCTGGGACCTGTAGGGGAGACCACCTGTGTCCTGCAGCCACCCTCTTGTGCCCCCTGCTTCTGTGAAGGAAGCCCACCTCCTCGGCCAGGGCCAACCTCCCCCAACTCCGCCCCACTCCTGCGCCTCCAGGCTGCCCACCTGGGCACGCTGCCCTGCCCTCTCCTCACAGCTCTGCAGAGCCCACCCACTAGCTGGACCCCAGGCCACCAGTGCCAGATGTGGGCTCCAGACCACAGCTGGGCAGCATGGGGGTGCGCAGCCCTCCCCGCCCCCGGCTCCAGGGGCCACTCAGAGGGGCCCTGGCCTTTCCTTTCGAACTCATGGACTCGGGGCACTACCATCTGGCAGGTTTTAGGGAGCTGCTCTGGAAGCATCCTCACAAGTCAGGAGCCCCCCACCCCCCATCACCAGTGAGGAAACTTTCCAGAGCTCTGACTCTGGGTAGCCCTGCAGGGGTCCATCCAGGCTGGGGTCCAGCTGAGCACCCACCCCACTGAGCTGTTCTCAGCCACAGGGCAGCGCAAGCTTGCTGCTGGCAGGGGGGCCATGCGGGTGCCACACATCCAGCCGCAGATGACTGCCCTTCTGTGCACGGCCTCTGACCAGAGCCCCCGTGCCCTAGGGGCTGACCCTTTTGGGGTCCTGGGGAGCTGCTCTCTCCCTCCTCTCTGGACCTGGCTCTGACATTCTCCTGGACTCAAATAACACCCTGATCTTCTCTTTCCAGGGTACTACCCCATGTCAGCTCAGGCCAGAAACTCCTAGCCCGGGTACCCCAGAACTACTGGCTGTGGCTTCTCCTCTCTCCTGGGGGCCTGAAGCAGCCCCGAGAGCCCCCCACACAAGAAATCACCATGCTGGGATGGGGGACTGGCCACAGGGGGGCCAGGAGGCTGAGAAGGTGCCCCACGCTGGCGCTGAGGTCGAGGAGAACCGGCCCTGCCCACTGTGTCCCCTGAAAGCCTCCTGTCCTCCCCGTGCCCAGCTGCGGCTCCAGGGCGGGCCAGAGAACGGGAGTGGGGGGGCAGCCTGTGGCTGCCCAGCCCATGGTGGGGACGTACCTGCTGCGGGGCCTCGGCACTACCGCCCCAAGTCGTGACCACCACCAGGGGCTCCTGGCGATAAGCTGGGGGGAGGGAGCAGGGCGTGAGCACTGCTGGGGCCGGCCTCCCACCCCCCACGTGGCAGCACCCCGGGGCTAGGGCTTCTCCCACGGGAGCCCTGGTGCTGAGGGGAGACTGACAGCCTCTGGGCCCAGGCAGCCCCTCCTCCCAGCAGCCTGGGTGCCCCCTCGACCTCCACCTTCCGGGCAGGGGTGCACGGGAGGTTGTCTGCAATCGCAGGCACGGTCACTCATGCGAGGCACCTGAGTACTCTTTGATGTGCAGTTTCCACGGGGCGCCCCGTGGGCCACTGGAGGCCACCTGGGTGGCCCACACCCCCTGCCCCTGGGAGCGAGAGGCAAGCCTGGGACACCTCCCTGGGGCCCGGCCAAGCGGTGCCCCGCCCCCCGCCAGCGAGCCCATGCTGCCCCGCGCACCCCACCCCGGCTGCTCTGGCCAACCACATGGTCTCCGGCCTGGTCAGGCTCCTCCGGGGCAAACACCCCATTATCAGCCTTGTTCACGCTGGGCTGCAGACCATGGGCGGGACAGACGCTCAGAATGGACAGGCAGACACAGCAACTTAGAGGCCAAAACCACCCTGGTGGGTCCTGGGTGACTGAGTGGCCAGGTGACACTGTGTGACCCTGGGTGGCCCTGAGTGGCCAGGCCCTGAGGCTGCTCCCCAGGCTCTCGCACCAACATCCACTGTCCAGGGTGCTGCAGATGCTCAAGAAACAGCAGCGCCATCACAGCCTTCCTGGGGTGACAGGAAGTCAAGTTACCCCCAGGCCCCAGACACGTGGATGACTGTGGAAGTGCCCCTGAGGACATGGAGCTCGCGTGGCCAAATGGACACTTGGTCCTGCAGCCCCTAGAAGTGGCCTCTTGTCATGTGGCTTCCACTACACCTGAGTGTGATGGGAGAAAAAGTCTGGTGAAATGCTTTCTGGGGGCTGCATCACAAAGAAGGGACACTCGCTGGTCAGGCCGGGCTCCCCACGAGACGAGGGGCTCCGGTGACCAGCTGCAGAGAAAGTGGGTCTCCGCAGGGGACACCCTGTGCTCCTGTTTCTGGCCCCAGGCCTCAAGCCCGCCCCGAGGTCGAGGGGACCCCGGTGTGAGGGGGAATCATGGCCGCGTGTCCTCGACTCTCCTGGGGACAGTACTTGCTACTCGGCTCCCACAGTGATGGCCCAGCCCGGGCAGGGGACGCACTCACCACACCCCTGGGTCCCAGCAGCCCCTTCTGGCCCGCCGCTGCTGCAGGGCGGTTCCTCCCCGGAGAGCACCTCGGCCCCCAGGGGCTCATCCACTGACATCTCCCTGAGCTCTGCTGGCCAAGAGTCAGCTTCAGAGTCTGGTGGATGCGAACTGCTGTGGCTGCGGGCCATGCGGAGGGCGCTGTCCCCGCTGTCCCTGCTGCCAGGTGGGCCCATGTCGCGTGCATGGCTGATGTAGGACTCCTGGTAATGCCTCTTCTCTGTGGGGGCAGGGAGACAGCAGACCGAAGAGTGGGTGTCAGACATCGGTGGAGGGGCTCTCCTGCATCCCCGGAGCCCCTGGTGGCCGATGGTGGCCCTGGGGCCCTGCCAGCTTCCCCACCCTGAGCTGGTGCTGAAGCCCTGGTGGGGTGCAGTGTGAGAAGAGTGTCACCCAGAGATCAGGCCCTCAGGTGTCCACAGTTCCAGAACAGGCTCCTGGGGGAATTGATCACCCGCAGCCAGAGAGTTCCTCATATCTGCTCTGTCACCTCCCAGGGCTCTCAGGTCACTCCCAGTGTGAGGGACCCCTAAGCAGCCCACACAAGCAGGCATGCACACACATGCACATAATGCACATGCACACACACGAGGATGCACATCTACACACACAGGCATGCATACAATACACACTTGTGCATGCACAGCCACCCAGGGGGGTGCTGTCACTCTCACATTGCTACCCACCCCTCAGCTCTCCTGTCGGCTCCTGGGGAATTCTTCCCCAAAGAGCCCACCTTTGAATCGGTTTCCAGGAGAGCTGGAGGCGTGGGGTCCCCACCATGCCCTTCCGTCATAACACCTGGGGGGACACGTGAGCCAAGCATCCACACCCCATGATGTGAGAAACAGAGGTGCCACATGGCTGCTGCATGGGAAGCGCCAGGCCCAGGCCCCTGCTTGGGGGGGTGCAGTGTGGGCACAGGCGGTGCTCTGGGTGCCCAGTCCACGGGGAGGACGAGGATGTGCACAGGCGCCCACCTTCGGCCTCCTCCAGCTGCTGCAGGCGCTGCAGGGCAGGCTGCAGGGCCAGGTGGAGCTGGTGGCTGGCACTGAGTAGCCGCAGGAGGTGGCGGGAGTGGGAGGCGCAGCGGGTGTAATACACCAGCTTCTGGGCGGAGGGCAGCCCGTCCAGCCGGATCTCAAACTTCTTTCCCTGGGCAAAGAGACAAGACGTGAATTTACCAGCGAATTTACAAGAAGGCCATACGATGAGTGAAGGGAAGTGTCTTAAACACCAGCCACAACCCAAGCTCGGGACCTACCATTGTTTCTGTTTCCACAGAAATCTGACTTCTGTGGGCGGGCAGAGTTTTGGGGGGCCCACTGCTCTGCGCTCAGTAATGAGAAAGCTGCCCCTGGGGTGGCCGTGGGGGGCACCAGTCCAGGACAGGGTGAGCAGGGCCACACTGTCCCCGCCCTATCCCCCTGAGTCCAGCCCGGGTGACCGTGTGCCACCAGGGCGACAGCAGAGGCACCTGGAAGCCGGCAGCGCCAGCACGGTGGTTCTGTGACTCACTCCTCATCCCCTCCACTCTCTCCACACAGGAGCCAAAGGCCGCCTGGGACCGAGACTCCGAACACCCTGTCAGGGCAGGAGAGCACCTCCCAGGGCAGGGCCGCCTCCCACTGGGGAAGCCAGGCTGCAGGCGGGGGCGGGGGGCACGCTGTTGGTGAGGGACGAGGTGCCCAGGAAATGCCCTGAGGAGCAGCGCTAGTTCCCCTGGCCCCGTCAGACACGCACCAGAAACGCCAGCTTCCCTACGTGGGGCCAGGGGAAGTCGTAGAGCAGCTGGGCAGCACGGCTCTCATCCTGTGGAGCGGCAGAGGGGCCGGGCCAGGGGTCAGAGGCAAGGCTGCAGGCCCGGACCTTCCCGGGGAGGGGGCGCTGCAGGGGCCCCACCCCACCTGATAGACGTGCACTCCTTTGAGGGTCAGCCCCAGGGTGACGGTCGGTCTGTCTTCCTTCTTATCCTGAAAAGGACACCAGCGTCAGAGCCCTCAACAGCCTGTGCCTGGGCAGGCTGGGCCTTGTTGTGGGCAAGCAGGCTGCAGTCAGCCCACTGTGGCCATGCACCGGACCGAGGCAGGGTCCCCGGGCCACAGGTGGCTGTGGGCACACACTCTCCCTGCCCTGGGCTCAGTGTTCTGGCCACCCCGTGGGCTCCCTTCCCTTGGGCAGAGCAGCTCTGAGGCAGCCTGGACTCATTTCCCCACTGAGCTTGACCTTGTACAGCCTGAAGAAGTGGACAGGGACATCCTCCAGCCGGCAGGCCTCCCTGATGAAGCGCAGCACAGCCTCCTTGGGGCTCAGGCCCCGCTGCTCGCGGTGCATGCTAGGAGCATGCCTGAGGATGTAGGCACTGCCCCTCTTGGCGATGATCTGAGGGCGAATCACAGGCCTGTCGGGCCCTGCCTGCTCCCCCACCCCCTGCCCCGTCGTGGCCCTCAGCCCTCCCTGCTGAGCAGGGGGAAGGCTCTCCATTGTCCGGAGCAGGAAGCCTCAGTGGCCTTACCCACTGTGGGAAGTAGGCCTGTGGCTCGAAGTACCTCCCGACGTGGACTGGCTCCCGGTGGTTGCCCAGGTCGGCCTGCAGCCCATAGGCAGCCAGCAGGAAGTACGCCTCCTCCCGGTGGGCGCACTCAGACCGCAGCACCCGCTCCCGCAGGTGGCAGTAGTACAGGTGCCTGGCCGTCCTGTCCCTGGAAGGCAGTTGGCAGGCTTCTGAGAGGCTGGCTCTGCCCCACCGGCCTGGACACCACCCAGCCCTCCTGCCACACTGCCCCAGGCCTTGGCCTCTCTGGGTCCCAGCAGGCCCAGCCCGGTCACGCAGGCCGCTTTCTGGAGTGGCGGAGGAAACCACTGCTGTCACACCTCAGCTCTCAAGAGTGCCAGACCCGGGTCTGTTCCCCAGCAGGGGTGGCCTTCACCAGCTCCGGGCCGGGTGCTGCCAGTGCTGCAGGGGCGCACCTGTGGAGGACTGCTTGGACCTGCGGGCCTGGGCAGGCCCAGAGCTGAGGCTCATTCCCAGATGGGGTGTTTTCTGTTCATTCCCAGCAGAGGAGCCCCGGCTCTGGAGAGCAGCTTAGATTTTCTTACCCTATGGACCGTGGCTGGTCCCAGACCCAGCACAGCTCCCCTCCATCACCCAGCCCTTCCATTCTCGTCTCCATGACCCTCCAGAGCCCCCCACAGCCATACCCTCAATCCAGAATCTTCCACAGCCACACCCTCTATCCAGAACTTTCCACAGCCATATACCCTCAGTTCAAACCCTTCCACAGCCACACACTCTCATAATCGGAACTTCCCACACACTTTCAGTCTGGAAACTTCCAAATGGCCACATACCCCCAATCTCCAGAATATTCCACACACGCACACATGCCTTCCTCCCACCTCTCTGCCTAGGAACGTCTCCTGGGGCCACTGGCACCAGCGCAGGGGATTCCTGGAGACACAGGCTCTGCTCATGTGCCCCCGGTCTGGGATGCGCAGGCCCCTGGGCTGTCCAGGGCTCCATCAGCCTATGCACTCTGGGGCGGATCCCCTATACGTCAGGTGGAGCCTGCTGGGGTCCTGCCCTGGCAACCTCCCCTGCCCTGGCTGGTGCCCAGCACGGAGCCCCACGCAGGGGACAGCCGGCTCAAAGAAGGCATCTTCACACCCTCCCGGCACCTGCTGGGTAAGAATCCCATCTGGAGACACCAGTGTCTGTACCGGGGGAGTGCTTGGCCTCACAGCGTGCAGCGTACAGCTCCCACCCGCCATGCAGCCGCGCGTCCTTCCCACCTTTTGGTTCACTGTGGTGGATGCCCACCATCCCAGGGAACGTCCTTAACATCAGCAACAATTACCTTATGAGCCTCCCGTTTTCCACGTAGTACTGCACCCGGAGGAAGGTCACGAAGGGCGCGCCAGGCCTCCTGTGTCCCTGTGGGTAGGGGCGGGAAGAGGAGGAAGGCCGTGCGAGTGGCCCGCTGGGCGCAGTCGGTGCCGTCACCGTGGGCAGGCCTCCGGAGGCTCTAAGCTGCCCAAGCTCAGGTCTCAACTGGGGGCAGGTCATGGTTCGATCTTACATTCCTAAAAGGGCAACCCAGTGGAGCATCTGTGGCATCCCTGAGCCTTCGCCTAGACCCACACCAACGCTGACTCCAGAGGCAGCTGTGCACCAGCTGGGCCGCAGGCAGTGGACGTTACTCTGTGCAGGGAGCACCCTGGTGCCAGCGCCCGACCCAGATGCATGGACACTTGCGTGAGGGAGTCTGGGGCAGCACCCACCTGGCGGTCTAACTTACTTTACACATTTCTCTCTTCCAGTCTTTTGAGAAGAACTTGCTGAGCTTCTGCTCCAGGTCCACGAACATGTACTCGTTATCTGGAAAGAGGGGCCTCATTGGAGCAGTCTCCTTGGTCTCGGGTAGACAGGCCTGGGGTGTGGTGGAGTGAGCTTGTATGGAGCGGCTGGGGGCTGCTTTCTGGGCTGGCGCTCCCAGCACTGCCCTCGACATCCTGGGGTCCCATGTTGCTGGCTGCACAGGTAGTTTCCCAGCGCAGGAATTGGATATCGAAGCTGATGCGCATGTCAGGCAAGCCACAGGTGACCACATGCTCTCACCCCTCCACCCGGGACCCTGGCCCAGCTTTGGAGTAAGTCCTGTACAAAGAAAATGCCTACAAATCTGGGAACGAATTGGCCAGCTTCAAGTTGACGATCCACGTTAACGTGGCTCTGCCGGGAAGGGGCCCGCACGAGGGGCTTCCTTCCACATTATGCATTTCTGTACTTTTGCAATATCACAACCTTGTGTTTTCTTTATATGCTGGAAAAAAACCAGTTATCCTAGAGAGGAGCATAAACGTGAGGGTGCCTCCAGCCTGTTACACTCAAGGCTTGGTGCAGGAACATGCTGTGGGCGGCAGCAAACGCACCCCGGCGAGAGAGGCTGTAAACGTGGGGCTGTGGAGCAGGCGGGGGTGGGGGGTGGGCTCACTGTGTCTTTCCCCAATTCTGCTGTGAAGCTAAAACTGCTTTAAAAAAATAAAACACTAAAAAAAAAATATCCTAGTGTCACCTCCAAGTCCAAGGTGTGAGGGCTCTGGGCAGACCCTGAATCTGCAGCTCAGCCCCCCAAACTCCCACGTGCTTTCAGACGCCTTCAACTTGTTGAGACCACAGTCCCAAAGACTTTGGGTGTCCCACAGTTCTAAAAATAATTCAGGTAGGACGCAGGTGTGGTCACTTCCATTCTGCCAGGAGCAGGGAAAGGCCACAGGGGCCCACGGAGGCTCCTCTTTGGGGGCAAGGAGCCCCTGTCCCTGCAGGTAAGAGCGAGGCCCTCGGGGACAGGGGGGCCCCCCAGATGTGCATGTGTTCTCGCCCTTCTGGGGGGGTGCTCGGCCAGCCAGCCAGTCTGCATGCCCCCCAGGAATGTGACTGCTCCAGACATGATGGAACAGGGGCTGGGGCCCTGCAATCCTGGGCCAGTGGGACCCTCGCTGTGTCCTGGTAGCAGGCGTCTGCAGAGAGGCCTGGGCCTGGGCCGGGAGCCCCAGGCAGTCGCCCTGAGCCAGTCCCACTCCTCCCAGCAGGTGGGGTCTGCCGGGCCTCTCAGCCCTGCTCTGTCCTGGGTGGGGCCTGTGGAGGGTCTACAAGGGGCCCTTCTTGGGGGGACGCCTGGAAACCCCCTGCCAGGTTCCTGGGAGGACAGAGGTGCTTCTTACGGAAGACCCCCATTTTGTACCATTTGAGGCCTACCCAGCTGTGTCCTGTGGTTCCAAAAAGTCACGTGGCAAATACAGGTGAATAAGGGAATGAATTCTTCTCCAGGTAGAAAGGAAGGCTGGAGAGGAAACTGGAGAAGCTGGGGCCAGAGGTGCCCACAGAGCCGCCCCCGGGGTGGCCTCCCACTGGAGTAGCCTCTGCTCCTGGGGTCCTGCTCTGTCCACACAGCCTCGTGGGACCAAATCCTGCTCAGCGTGCCCAGCACACTAGTTTTACAAAGCAGAAATGGGGGCGTGAGATGTCATTCTGACAGTGGTCGGCCAGGCCCTGCAGGGGTCCCAGGCAACTAGGAAACCTGCAGACAGCAGCCCCGCCTCCACCTCACCCCTGGCAGGGGAAGAGCACCCTGGAGGTGCAGAGACCCCTGGGAAGGAAAGGCATCACCCGTTCTGGAACATTCTGGTCAGTGGGCAGCACCGACACCTGAGCGTGGCCGGCCCGAACCCCCTTGCTCAGAGCCTGCTGCCCCTGCCCGGGGAAGCTTGTTTTTTAGGCAAGTGGACCAATAGTGAGTTCAGGGCTCCCCCACCTGCCATGGCAGCTCCCAGCATGCCCTGCAGACACAGGCCCCAGGGGGTAGGATGGCTGGGTCCACAGCTTCACCCCTGGCCTGGCACAGGAGGTGCTTCCCATCAGCTGCCCTCTGAAGAGAGGACAACTGTGCAAAACACACTTTTAGCAGCTCAGTCTCATGAGTGACTTAAATGCACGCTCTCATTTACACCACGAGATTCACATCCAGAGCACAAAATCTCACCACAGCAGCTCCCAGGTACCACGATATTCCCTTAAAGCACCAAGATTGCCTAGGAGGACACACCGCCCCCAAGTGCCACCATGACCTGGAGATAAATCTTGGGCACCGGCAGAGAAGATGTTTCCCTACATCATTCACCTTTGGGGAGGCCTGTGAGGGCAGCCTCAGTCCTGCTGTGCCAGGTCACTGGAGCTGGAGACACTCACCCACCTCACTTGCGTTCAGGGCTTGCCCACCCCACACAGCACTGCCAGCATCACACCCTCTGCTGCGTGCCAGGCTCTGGGGCAGGGCTTGGAGCCAGCCCGTCCATCTCTACCTTGTCGCAGTGCCTACCCCACAGCATGGAGGGAGAAGCCAAGGCTGGCAGAGGCTAGAAAACACGTTGGTCACGCAGCTAATACAGTCTTGGTTACCGGTTCCCCACCAAGGACCCTCGAACCCGGGGGCTGGCCAACTAGGGCCCTGGGCCAAACCCCACCTGCCACCTGTTTTTGTAAATGAAGTTTTAGCAGATCACAGCCACACCCGTCGGCTTACATAATCTCTATTTCCACTCTCACGCTTCAAAGCCAGAAATGTTTCTTTTCTAGCCCTTTACAGAAAAGTCCGCTGACTCCTGCTCTAAGCAAACACCATTTTGAAAACTGGCCTAGTGGCTACATAAGAACATATTCACACTGGGCCGGGCTCACAGACCAGGGTTTGGTCCATCACCATCTAGATGTGGCTGGGAGGGCAACTGTAGATCAGATTAACTTCTCCATCTGCTCTGGAGAACAGCAGCTGGCCCTCCGGGGTGTGGTGGGCCACATCCGAGCAGGTGAAGATGAAAAGACAAACCCGAGGTCCTGGGAAGAGGGGGAGGGGGGACTCCCGCAGCCCCCAGGACTCCAGCGCAGCAGCCCCTCCTCCTGGGCCCCGCCTGCTGGCCGCCAGTGAATTCAGACTCACAGCCCGATGATCGTGAGGCACCACCTGAAAACAACCTCTCCTCCTGCTGACATGGACACAGAGACCTACGGCGCCCTGTGGCTCCGCGTCCCCGGGAGCCTAACCAGCACAGGTCCCGCCGGGTCAGGAGAGCATGCGCAGCGCTGGGTGACAATGGGCCTCCTGCTGCCCAGCTGCCTGCAGGTGCCCGACACCAGCCCCAGCCCTGAGCGGTGCCCCTGGGCCCACAGACAGGCCCAGCTCTGCTGCCGGACTGGAGTCTCAGCCCTTGCTCCCGGCACAGGGGGCGTGATGGCTGAGGCCACCCCAGGGCTGGCCCAGGGACCCCAGTCTGTGCAGGGGCAGCGAGCCCCGAGCCAGCGTCACTGGGCAGGAGGAGCGCATGCCTGAGCTCCGCTCTGTCTGTCTGTCTGACCCTCTCTGTCTCTCCTGTCTGTCTCCTCTCTCTCTCTCCCCCTCCCTGTCTGTCTCTCCCTCTCTGTCTGTCTCTATCTCTGTCTCTCCCTCCTTGTCTCTGTCTCTCCTTCTCCCTCTGTCTCTGTCTCCCTCTGTCTCTGTCTCCCTCTGTCTCTGTCTCTCCCTCCCTGTCTGTCTCTGTCTCCCTGTCTCTCCCTCCCTGTCTCCCTCTGTCTCTGTCTCTCCCTCCCCTGTGCGGCACCCTGGTTCCTGAGTCACACGTGGGGCTGCCTCTGGTTGGGCCTCGGTCCTGAGAAGACGCACAGGGCCGCCGTGTGCAGGGGCTGCGGCAGGGCCCACCTGCTCCCAAGCACAGATCTCCGGAGCGGGGGCTCCGCCACAGGGCCAAGCAGGCCTGCAGGGTGTGGAGGCTGTTGGCTTGCGGCTCAGTGGGGTGCCAGGCCGTGAGCAGCTCAGGTCTGTCCCCTTGGCGGAGGAGGGTCCTGGGCTCACCCAGGGGCAGGATGCCCACATTCCTTCCTTGAACTTGCCCCGCCCACGGCCGGGCTCAGGGGTTCCCTCTCAGGGCAGCTGGCCAGAAGGGGCCACTTAGCAGCAGCTGCAGTACCTGGCCTGCAAACTCTCCAAGCAGCGAGACCCCCGGGGTCCCCATCCCCGCCATGGCTGTTCTAGGCTAACCCCCCGCAGGACCACTCCACTCCTGCCTGCGCCCCCACAGCTGGCTGCTCAGGCTGCCATGCGCACACACACATGCACACCTGCACACACACACACACACACACACACACACCAGAGGCGAGGGCCCGGGCATGGTGCCAGCCTGGGAGTCGGTTTCCTAACACCCATCATCATTTGGGTGTTTTCACTTAGATGCCCTGAGCCCTGTGCCCCGCAGGACACTGAACCACCAGGAACCACCAGGGAGCCACCCTCAGTCCCGGAGTCTCTGCTGTGAATGTGGGTCCCTCCATCTGCTGGGGGGTGGCCCTTCCAGAGGGAGCAGCCCCACTCTTGGGAGACCCCGGCCCTGAAGTGCTCACACATCATGCCTTTGGGACCCCTCCACTGCAGACACTAACACCCCCAAACCCCTGCTGTGCTTCATGAGGCCCTCCTGGTCACAGGGAACTCAAGGGACTGTCCCCTTGTCCAGAGCACATGGGGAGGAAGCTTGGGGTCACCTCAGGACCCAGGACCCATGAGAAAGGGGGACACTTTGGGGCTTCCCCCCCCCTTGTGAAAGCAGTGTGGTCTCAGTGCAGGAAAGGAGCCCAGATGGGTTCTGGTGACCCCAAAGGTCCCCGATTCCCTTTCTGTTTAAGTCACTCTAAACCCTCAAATAACAGAGGCTGCCGAGACCAGACGGAGATGCCGGCTTCTTGCTCTCCCCCAGACTTGCTTTCCTTCTAAACTACAGAGCCCAGGACAGGTGCAGCTCCCGGCAGCCAGGGCCCTCCCGGAGGGCCTCACCGTGACCTTAGTCCCTCTGAGGAGGGGACAGCAGCTGCTGGCCCTGGGAGGCCCAACGCCTTGGAGTGCAGGGTCCAGGGCTGCACGTCCACTCTGAGCGTCCAGCCCCAGGGCCTCAGGCCATGACCACGCAGCCCCTCCCCGAGCCTGCAGTACTCCCGGTGTGCAGCACCCGGGGCCCAGCGGCCGGCCAGGTGGTGGCACCAGCCATCTCAGCCCTGGCGGCAGACAGAGCAGCAGGTGCCTGTATGATTGGTACAGATGCAGGAGTCCCTCCGAGCCCAGGAGGGGAGGCTACCAACACCCGGAGCACACAGCAGGGGAGGCCCTCAGCCTCCCTGAGGGCTGCGGGTCAACACGTGGCCCAGCATGAATGCGCCCTGAGCACGATGTCTGCAGGATGCCCCTGTGACCGAGGCACACGGTCCTGGAAGGTGAGACCTGCGCTGTGAAGCCCGCGGCCCCAGGTCCCCCAGTGCAGCCAGGAGGCTTCCTGCATGATGGTGGCCTCAGTCCCAAGCACTAGGAACAATTCCAGAACAAGATGGCAGTCACAGCAGAGCCCAACACCAGCACACATGCTCCCCCAACACAGACCGCACTTACAGGTGCCTGTTCATCTCCTCCCAGGTGCTGTCCACGTGGACCACACAGAGCAGCCAGTGCCCAGTGGCTAAAATGGCAGTTGTGGACAAAGACGTCACGCTGGGGCAAGGCTCCCCATGAGCCGAGCTACCCTGCAGCACCTGGGAGCAGTCCACCCGTATTAAGATCTAATGGCAAAGCCGCCATCTGCTGCTCCAGGGCAGGACCCAGCCCTGGGCACCTGCCTGTCTGCCTGCCGCCCTGTCTTTCTGTTTCCAAATTCTGCCTGAGCCTGGGAATTGGGGGCAGCTGTGGGACAAACAGCAGAGCAGGGGGCTGTCAGGAAGCTCCTCCCGCCTCCAGCAGCCTGGGCATCTGTCACAGGAGTGGGGGGCACCGTGTCCCCTCAGGGGTCCTCTGTGGGGCAGGAGACCCAGTGGCTGGGGCACCAGGACAAGGACAACCAGCATGGGAATAAGACCCTGGGCATCAAGTGAGGTGGGGACAGGATGGTGCCCTGCAGGAAAAGTGCTTTGACTACAGGGCAGAGCTGCATGGGGGGCTGTGGGGGGCAGGGTCCACAGTGCCCCACATCCCCCTGGGATACTCCCTCTTTCCGCTCACTGCTTGGGGCCCCACCTGGTCGCTGAGCAGGGATGCACACACACCCCTGCTGTTGGGGGTAGACACCCAGACGGTTCTGCTTGGGGGACTGGATTACCATCTGTCTATCTCCTCATCTTGGAGGAGGTTATCTATACTGATCACCCCAGAATCCCCCAGCTCCTGACAACCACCTCCCGGTCATCTAAGAACCACATGCAGGTGGTGCCATCCACTTCCTGGGACACAGAGAGGTGCTCGGGTGGCCCCTGCTGTCTGAGGCTGCACCCTCCAGGGCCCTGGGTGGTGCACTGGAGTCCCCCACACATGCACACAGCCCTCGAGTCCCCATTTTCCTGCCTGTGTTCTCCCATGGAGCTGGGGGGGCTTGTGAAGGAGCCCCAGGGCAGGGGAGCAGACCCCACCAGCACGTGCCCCTCCATGCATGAGCACCCCAGGGAGGTTTCATTTGGATCCATGGCTCTGTTCCTGGAAAAATGTGTCCAGAACCCCGGACACCAACGGCTCTTGGAACAGCAGATGCAGTGATCTGGGATCTGGTTTCCCTGGGATTCCAGGGTGCTGTTTTCTCCAGAAGGAATGAGAATGGGGCAGGGATCTGCTCTCCTCTCTGCCCTGGGAAGGGAAAGTGAGTGTGTATGTATGAGTGTGTGCAAGTGTGTGCACATGCACACTGAGAACATGTAAGCATGAGTGTGAATGTGTGCATGCATGAAAGTGTGTGTGTACATGACTTTGCATGTAAGGATACATGCCTGAACATGTAAGGATGTGAGTGTATGCATGTGTGGTTTTGCAAGTGTATATGTGTGGGCACGTGTGCACGTACGTGTGCACGCTCAGGTGCAGCATAGAACCACCTGGACAGCTTGGGTGCACACTGGCACATGCTGAGTACAGTGGGCACAGGCGGAGACCCCCAGACCCCCATGAGAAGCTGGTGCCCTGGGGCAGGGTCCTGCCACGGTGGGTGGTGGGGAGCGGGCAATGCTGACTTACTTCTGACTACGCTGAGGCCGAAGAAGTGGGCTTCTCTGATACTCTTCAGGTCACACACCTGCTGGAAGACCTCACGCCCGGTGGCCTGCACCTGCACAAGAGGTGGGTGTGGGTGTGTGCATGTGAGTGTGTGCGAGTGCACACATGGAAGAGCATGTCCAGTGGCACGTTCGGTCCAGCAGTCCCCTAAAGGGGCAGGTGTGGGGACCACCAGCCGGGGCTGGTGAGGCAGGAGGCCTGGCAGGCTGCTTCCCACCTAGGAGGTCAGGGCTCAGGGCTGGTGACCACCCAAGCTGAAGACCAGATGCCCCCAACCCAGCTGGGTGAGCCGAGAGAGAGTGTAAGCCCACATGCCCAGGCTGCTCCTCGGGGCTGGGAGCTAGGCACCCCTGAAACGGGCGTATGTGTTGTGCATGGGGATGCAGTTTTCCGGGACCTAGACGGGCTGAGGCTGTTCCTGGGACAGCAATCCCGGAGCGTCAGCAGGCCCTGTCTGAGGGTCTACCAGAGCCCATATTTTCTAACAACTGGATGTCAACAAACAGGCATAGTTAAATACAGGGGGCCTTCCTTTATTGCTCACACAGGTGTGTGTGCACCCTGAAAGTGAGCTGGCTCTCTGCTGCCAAGTTCAGCCTGGGTGGGGGGCTGCAGGTGCTGCAGGCCACTCAGTGGGCCCCACTGACTGCTGGGACTTGTACTTCTCCCTGAGGGTTTCAGAGCCCTGCAGTCAAAATCCCGCAGTGCAGGGGCCAGCCCCGGTGCCCCGTCCTCCCCAGCCAGGACCTCACTGGCCCCTTCCCATGGTCTGAGGCGCCACTGAGGACTCCAGGAACCCCTGGAAAACCCAGAGGAGCTCCAGCTTATCGCTAGGTGGGGAAACGGAGGCTCAGAGAGGTTCTGTCACTAGTGTAAACGTTGGCATTGACTTAAATTCAGAAATGTGTCCCTGAGCTGAGATTCCTGGGGGTTAACTGGTCTCGGTGTCAGTCACACTGCATTTCAGGGGGCACCTGGCTGTGCCCAAAGGTGACACCGGCCACCATGTGTCCTTCACCAAACCAGTCCTGTTCTAAGCACTGAATTTTCATAAATCACATTAATCCTTAAAACAGAAGTGTTGTCTCACAGGGCCAGCCAACTACCTGGCAGTTCCTCTGTTCCTCTATCTCAAGCAGGCAGATAAGGTTAGAATTAAAGGGAAGAGACGAGATTCCTAATATGGCATGCAGGCATTTCCACCTGGACACTGTTACAGCCTCCTACACTGTTCCCCGCAGTGTGCTCAGAAGACAAGGTGGGCCCGTGGGCTTACTCCGCCTGGAAGCCTGTCCTTCATGGGCCCAGTGAGAGGGCTGGCCCCTGGGGCACCCCATAGACCCGGAGCCTGGGGCTGCATAGCAGGGTGGCCCTGGCAGAGCTGGCCCTGTCCGCTGGAGGAAACATCCTAATGGTGCACAGGGCAGCCAGGCCACTGGCGGCAGGGCCTCTACCTTGCACTGTCCAGAGTCAGGTGGGCAGTGAGCGGAGACACAGGTGGGCTTCAGAAGCAGGTAGCCCTGGGCTTGAGCCCTGGGTCAGCACCAGCAGCCTCTAGACTTACCTCACCCATTTGTAAAATCAAACTAACCAGACCTCCGCAGCAGAGGGAGGGTCACAGGAGCCGGTGTACACGCAGCTCTGGCAGGGCCCTGGGCACACACAGTGGGAGCCTGCCGTAGGCGGCAATGGTGAGGCGCACACTGGCCCCAGGTGCTGGCCCCAGGCGCTCTGCAGCCTGTCTGTGGCCCAGAGGCCCAGAGAGGCGGGCCAATTCAGACACCAGAGACTGCCTGGATTGGGGGGACCTAGAACCATTCCACTCTCCACTCAAGCAATAAGCAGCAAAAGGCAGCACCAGCCCCCTGCAAAAAGCAAGACTGCGCTGGACCTGGCCTGTCTTTTTAATGGCCTGCTCGGAGGCCCTGACCCCGACCTGGCTCACCAGGCACCTGCTCCCACGGAAGTCCTGCCTGGGGCTGCTGCCCACCCTCCTCCCACCAATGCGTGTGGGAAGCCACGGCCTGATAAGCTCTCCCATTCAGAGACGCTCTTCTCCAGGGACCGGGGAGAGAGCAGGACAGCATCTGCAGGGGACCGGGTGCTGGCAACGTTCCCTGTGACCACGGGGTGCCCCGAAAGCACTGCCTGGGGACTGGTCTATCCCCAGGTGGCCAAAGTGCAGGGAGGCCTGTAAGGAGGTGAGTGTGGGGAGCAGGGCGCGCTGCCATGTCCCCGTGGGTCTGCGCGCCCTCATAGACACGGGGCCCCTCAGAGCCCGGGTGAGTGTGGGAAGGCTGCCCGTGGTGACGTGACAGCAGCATGAATCATCCGTCTCAGATCTTCAAACAGTGGGTGTCTGACGGGGCCTACAGAGAGGCAGCAACTCTGGGAGGAGAGCTCTGAGCCACACACCTTTGCTCAGGTGTCAACCTCCAAGGGGCTTCTGGGCCATCCAAACGGGCTCCATGGCATGGGGGCCTGAGGCCCGCAGACGGGCCCTGTGAGAACCAGCCCTGTGAGAGCCCAGTGGTGTGTGGAGGGATCTGCGGATGAACGAGCTGTGATAGTCTCTCATGAAAGGACTGAGTACTGTGACAGGGAGGGACTGGGCCCTCAGCAGGCGCGGGCAAAGGGAACGCACTGCCCACTGTCTTTGGGTGCAGCACAGGGTGGCCGCCCTTCCAAGGGAGGGAAGGGGCCCCGTGGCTTCCTGCCCCTGGTGGGGCACTTCCATGCCCACCCTGTGCATGCAGGGCCCTCACCCGTAGGCATCCCTGCCGAGGGTGGGGATGCAGCAGAGGCACGGAGAGAAGGTGGGGAGATGCTGGGGGAGCTGGCCCAGGAGTGTGTCCTCTTATGTCACCTCCCTGAGGGTACAGTCAGGGTGTCAGAGACCTTCAGGGAAAACCACAGCCACCCCAGCTGAAAGCAATGGGGAAGCACAGAGGGAAGAGGGCCCAGGGGACCCCCAGGGACCCCTGAGGGCACTGGCCTGGGCTCATTCTGCAGCCAGAGGGCCCTGGGGCTGAAGACAGGGCCACATAGGGCAGCTCCTCACTGCGTGATGGTATCACCCTCCCAGGGGGACGGCCCACTCTGGTCCGTAGGCAGGAAGCCTCAAGGCTGTCAGCACACCCAGTAGGGGTGGCCTGGACTCTCATCTCCCGGGTCTGAATCTGCCACTCCAACCTTATATTACTGAAAGTCCCAGGCCGGGCACACGGTCACACTGACACCCACCCCTCCATTCAGACTCAAGACAAGGCCCCAGTTGTGATGGGACCTTAAAAGGGAATCAACCGCACAGGCCCCTGGACACTGTGGAGACCGAGCAGAGCTCGGTGCAGGCCCCTGGACACTGTGTGGACCGGGCAGAGCTTGGCACAGGACCCTGAACACTGTGGGGACCGGGAAGAGCTTGGCCCAGGCCCCTGGACACTGCGGGGACCGGGCAGAGTTTGGCCCAGGCCCCTGGACACTGTGGGGACTGGGCAGAGCTCTGTGCAGGGCCCTGGACACTGTGGGAATCAGGCAGAGCTCGGTGCAGGACCCTGGACACTGCGGGGATCGGGCTCAGCTTGGCCCAGGCCCCTGGACACTGTGGGGACCGGGCAGAGCTCAGTGCAGGACCCTGGACACTGCGGGGACCGGGCAGAGCTCGTGGCAGGACCCTGGACACTGCGTGGACCGGGCTCAGCTTGGCGCGGCCACGGCTGTGGGTTGGAGAATTCAGGGAGACAAACACCATGTAAAGGTGGCCAGAGACCAAAGCTGTTTTCTCTAACTTGTGGGGCAACCAGTGGTTTCATAAAATAACATGATGCTACGGGGGCGGGAAGGGCAGCAGGCACACAGCCCCCTCAGGGCCCCACCCAGCATCGCACGGCCCCTGGTGCCCCATGCCCACACTATCCATGCTCACTGTGGACACCTAGTTCCATCTGCCCCATGTCCCCTGCTGTCCTTCAGCTCACCTCCACCCCCTGGTCGCCCCCACTCACCCCCACAACCAGCCGCAGCCGCTCCCCTGTGGGCAGGACCACTAGGACGTCCCTGTGCTCTGCGGTCCCCTCGCTGTCCCGGCACTGCTCCCACTGGCCACTCGCAGGCTCCCAGGACTGGGCCCCGGCCATCGCCTCCTGCAGGAGAGAAGGGTCAGGGTCCGGCCGGGGAGAAGCTGAGCAGTGACAGCCCACCTGCCACCTGGAGGGACAGGGACCACGTCACCACCTGCCGGACGCTCCCTGCCATCTGGCCACAGGAGGGGCACATGGCACCCCAAACTCACCCAGCTGTGGGCTTCCCAGGGAACTGCCAAGCTCCTGGATGGGAAAATGACAGAAACACGAGGAGGGCCAAGAATCCAGCCTGCAGGTGGTGCCAGGACAAGGTCCAGGCTTATAAATAGCTGGGACATGTGTAGGTTGATTGGAATGCAAATAAACAATGTCGGCCTGGCACCCCACCCTCGCCTGCCTCCAGCTGATTCCACTCCCCCAGGGACCACCCTGCAGCTCCTCAGGGCTCCTTGGGCCACCCTTCTTCTCCTTTCGAGGACCAAACACAAAAGCCCAGGACGCAGATGTCCGAAGCAGGGCCGCTGAGGTTCTGAGCAGCCGAGGTGGGGGAAGGGGCAGGCCCACAACAGCTCGGCACCCCCACCCTGGCTGTGCACCCTCCCGCTTCTGGCTGGGAGGGAATGGACAGCAGAGGCAGCTTCCCCAAACAAGGTCTCCCCAAGGAGCTCTGAATCCCTTTAGCAGGGAAGCTGATGACAATTTTTTTATGGCCCTTGGCCAAGGTTGCCTCCTACCTGCCCTGCAGTGAGTAACACCTACTGCAGGTGAAGGCGGACAGGGCAGCTGCAGGCCTGAGGGCCATCCCCCACCAGCGATGGTGGCGGGGGGCAGCTCATGCATGTGAACTCTGATCTGCTGGGAAGGACCTGTGGCTCCCGGCCGGCCCGGACCCCAGAGGAGGCACTTGACGCTCAGCATGGCCCCACCCCACCTCCGAGGGCATTTCAGTTCTGCAGGCCTGGCCAGTGAGCTCCACAGTTGGCTGGGCAGGTCCTAGGATCCCAGCTGCCCTGGGCTCTGGCCCCGGAGGGGGAGAGGATGGAAGGCAGAAGAGGCAGGGAGCTCTCTCCTTGCTCCACCTGCCCAGGAGTCTCCCCTCTGAGTAGGTTTGGGGCCTTCGGGCTGTATGGGCACCGTGAATCTGGGAGAGGCTGTGGCCCCACCCATCTATCTCCAGGACATAAGCATCTCCCTTCAGCTGGTAATTCTCAAAGAGGCAAACAGCCCCAGAGAATAGACACCTTGTCCTGTGACGCTCCCCGCACCACGTTCTAGCCACTCAATCCACGGGCTGCCTGGCGGTGAGCCACTGACTCGGGCCGCTGGTGGTAGCTTCTCTTTCCCACAGGGGCCGGAGCACAGGAGGGGACATGGGGTAGCAGATCCCCTCCCCAAGCACCTGCGGACACACAGCAGGGTAGCCGTGGTCAGGACCCCGAGGGGTGGAGTTGGGGGAGCAGAATGGAGCCTCCTCCTGAGAGCGGAGGGCCACGAGCCTGTATGAGTGTCCCTGGGCCACGACACACGAGGCCTCGGGGTTCCTCTGTCTGGCCGAGGTGGCAGTGCCCCACTTCTTTGTGTGGGCACTGGCCACGTTTTAGGTGGCAGCTGGCAAATGAGCTCCAAACCCCTCCAGGGAAAAAAGAGAAAAGGAAAAGAAAACCTTATATTCTTATTGATCAATGCAATTCAGATTCTCTTTAAGCTGAGAAATCCCTTGCCCAAACCCTCTCTGCCTGCCCCAGGCCTGAGGGCTCACAGTCTGGCATCAGGCCAGCACCAGTGCAGTGACCACATCGCTTCTTGGGCCATGAGCCCTTTCCCAGGAAGGTGCTTGGCCAGCCCCAGGCCCACCTCCCGCCCACCGTACTCCCCACCGGTGGAGGACCACTGGCCTCCGGCTTACCAAGAAGTGAGAGCTTTCTTCCTTTGGGAAAACAGAAGGGGGGCCAGGCCACAAAACAAACCACTTCTAAACACAGAATGCTTGCTGCACTTGCCAGCTCAGGTTGAGGGCTGCTGATCTGTCTGAATTTGTGGTCTCAGGTCTCAGGAGGAGCAGGGAGAGGGGGGCAGGGGGCAGCTCCCCAGCCCTGCACCACCTCCTCACAGGCCCAGTTCCCTTTCTTCTGGCTAATTGGTCTTCATCCCCTATCATGAGATGGGGCTACTAAGAATGTTCTAGAAATAAAGCTTCAGAAACAGAAGTCCATGAAGTACAGGTTTCACAAAGCAATGCAGGAAAACCATTCAGCAGTAAAGGGAATGAAGAATCGGTCCAGAGACAGATGTACAAACTATCACACTGCCGGGGGAAGCGACCCGGAGGGCATATTTTATACTATTCAATGAAATGTGCAGAAAAGACAACACCCAAGGAGAGTGGGTGAGTGGCTGCTGGGGGAGATGTAACCCTCAGAGCAGCGACCTCCCCAGCAGGCATGCACGGGAGTGCAACTGCGTGCCTGAGCGCGTACTGTGCGAGTGTGTGCATGTGCCCAAGGTGGCCTTGCCAACAGGCCCTCCAAGTCCTCCCTGCACCATCAGCACCACGCGTCCTTTCCCATGAGACCCCTGGCCCTTTGCGGAGCTGGTGGCCATGGTCACAACCTCTTTCGGGATAAGGAATCTGAGTCCCCACGAGGTGCCTGGTCAGCAGCCATGCCGGGGGCCCCACCGCGGCCTCCCTTCACCTGCCCCACTGTCTCCCCACCAGGTAGCCATTCTCACAGCCTTCCTGAGGCGCTTCCTTTAGCCTCACTTTCCCTGAAGAGGAATGTTGGCCAGAAGTAACATGTTTTGCTCATTTTGTAAGCAGGGAAACCAAGGGACAGGAGCAGAGTGGCTTGTCCAGGGCTCCTGGCTATGGCATTTCTAAGATCCAACCTTACAGACCTAGAATGATGCAGAAAGTGCTCTCATGATTCCCCAGCTACAGATTGCTAGAGGTCAGCATCTGGGAGGCCCAGGGGCCCACAGCTGTCCAGAGTGGAGGGTGTGGGGGGCGGGGCGGGGCGGGGCGGACGGTGCTCCCCCACAGCCGGGCCGTGGGAGCTGGGTACTCCACACCGACCCCAGCGGGGCGACAGCAGGCGTCCTCCGGGAGCCCCTGTGGGCCGAGCGCCCCGGACCGCTTGTGTTCAGAGCTGAGAGGAGAGGAAAAGCCCCGGACCTCTGCTGACCAGGCAGGGCCGTGTTTTGTTTGCCTCCCGCTGGGACCTCTTGACCTCAATTAAGCCCAGAGCTGAGCAGCAGGCCTGGGGGCGGTGTGGGCCTGGCCCTGACACGCACCGGCTCCGATCCCACGCTGCCTTTCCTCTCAGCTGACTTTTGGCTGCAGGGCAGAGGCCGCACCACGCAGGGAGTCCTGCTGCCTCAGACACAAAGGCCGGAGCCCCTGAGTTGCTCTGTCCCTGTGCGTGGAGCAGCTTGCTGCATACCTGCAGGCTGAGCGGGGCTCTGGGCCTTGGTGCTGTCCCCAGTGGCACAAGTTCATGGGCACCTCTGGGTACAACTGCTGGCCTAGGTCCAGGGACATGATGGTGATGGATGAGGAAAGGAATCGGGGCCCAGAGACCCTCCTGAACCAGAGGCTAGGGGGAAAGCTTCACCCATGTTACAAGGGCACAGTCAGGGGCCAGCTGCATGTATTACAGGGACATAGCAGGGCAGGGGACAGGGTCAGCTGCACCCATTCCGAGGACACAGCCGGACAAGGGCGTGAACACCACAGCACCTGGAGCCCAAGGCTCCCAGGCCCCGGGAAGGGATCTCAAGGGCACACTGGACACCTGCCCCATGGCGTGTGTGGGTGCCACTCCGGTGACTCCGCACAGCCAAGTTCACAGCAGCTGCGAGTCTCTGAGAAAGGCCTGCTCGTGGCTGCTCCCTGCCCTGGGCCCCCACAGACGGGCAAGTGCCAGGCCAGGGCAGGGACCCACGCGAGGGCGGGAGTGGACGGTCTGCCCAGCTTGGTGCCCCGTGTTTAGGTGCCAGTGTGACAGAGGCCAAAGCCAACTGCCACCATAGGATGCTGCCTCTCAGCATTCATGTATCTTCCAGGAAAAGGGGGACACAAAGCAAAAGCGTGGGGCCCATATGGCGCTCAAGAGATGCCATCTCAATGGCCTGGCCCTTCTGTGTGAATTCTAACAGAATGCTTTCTGCCTCAGAGGGGCAGATCATGGTGAACAGAAAGATCTGAAATTAAAAAAACATTAGCCAATCTATTTATCAAGAGATTAAATACATGAATCAGCCCGAACATTCAAAGTACATGAGCAGCAGACGGAAGACAGGAATGCGGCCGGACGGTGGGATGAACTGGCACAGATGCGTCCTAAGGACCCCACCGAGGGGAGGACGGCACGGCACGTCCAACAGGCAGCAGGCCATGGGCCCTGACCTGCAGGACGGGGGCTGGCATGCAGGGCAGTCAGCAGGACACACTCCCGATGGGGAGGAGACCCTGCCTTTCAGGCTTCACTGTAAATCAACTCGTTCCTCACCACGTGGTTCTTTATTTTCTGGACCCCTTCCCAGGGTCCCCCACACCCGGCCCTGCAGCCTCACCGAGAGTGTAAGGACAGGGCCGCCCTCGGCCCCCCAAGCACCAGGTGAGGCGGGGCCTGGCCGCCAGCCTGGGGACCCCTTCCAGGCAAGGGCTGGGCGTGGCTGCTGAGGCCAGCGTGTCTGTGGGCTGCCTCTGTCCTCACATGGAGTGGCGGCTCCAGACGGCGTCAGCTTTCAAGGGCATCAGACAAAACGGTGCTGCTGGGCTGCAGCTCTGTGCCTGCTCCCAGGGCCTGTGGGCCGTGAGCTGCTGGGAGAGGGGCTGAGGCATGAGGCGGGTGGTGAGCACCGGCGGTGCGGGCATAGGAAAGGCCCGCAGCCCCTACCATCTGGGCGGAGGGTGGAATGGAGAGTGGGCACCACGAGCATGAGCCGCTGCAGCCAGTGTAACTACCGGAGTGGAAAAGCCAAAGGAAGCGGAGGTTCCCAGATGGGTGTCGGGTGCTGCAGCAGCCCCCACCCAGGAAGAGAGCCCCCGAGGCCCGTCCTTGCCACCCCCAGGCACACGCATCTGCACTCCAAGGAGAATCTGCTTCCCTGCCGCCACCCTCCAACGGTCCCAAGGGTGAGCAGCGACCCTTAGCTCAAGGTCACTTTGCCCTTTGGATCACTACAGTGCAGTTTTGTAGAAAAGTTCAAATGCTTTCAGTCCTTGCACGTTATTCTCCCACGATACAGCTGCACGGCCGACGGACACACCACTGGCCCAGAGCACCGTGTGGTCCCTCTTCTAAGAGGACAGCAGGGTGTCCATGAAGGTGGCAGGGCTGTGACAGTTCCCAGCAGAGTCCATGCTGTTCCCGGATGCAGAGGCACCCAAGTCTGTGTGCCAAGGGGATGTGGCCACCACCCTTCCTATGACCAGTGGGGTCCTGCCTCCAATCTGAGGGTGGCTGGGCCTCCGGCTCCCCCTGCCCAGCCATAGCTTCCAGATGCTGCAGCTGTCTGGTGCCCCCTGGAGCCCCACCACCCCACAACAACCCCATTGCTCAAATATTTGTTTTGATGGGAGTTCATGGCATATAACTTCAAGCACTAAGTCTGGCCATTCTCATAAAAAATGGACTGTAACCTCCTGCCGCTGTGCAGAGACTTCCTTGCTGTCAGGGTGCTCTGTGGGCATGCGGCCTGGGACCCGGGCCCACCTCGTCCCCCCGTCTGTTTATTGAGGTGCCTCCTTAGGTGGTAACCCCTCCCCAGCTACCACCCTCCCACACAGGGATGTAAAATTCCCGGAGCACAGCCCTGGGAAGCCTAGAACAGGGGTCTGCATGGGTCTGGAGCTCAGGGAGAACGTGGGGCAGGATGGAAGGTTCCCGCTGCAGGGTCCCCAGGGAGCTGATCTAGTCATGCTGATGGGCGCCCCTTGTCCCACCACAAAGGCATCCAGGACATGACCACCTGCACTGCAGAGACAAGAGCCCTGGGCCATGTGCTGAGCCCCCACCCATAGGTCTCCGGCTCATCCTTACTCTCTCTCTCCAGGGCACCTGCTTCTCTCCTGCTCATAAAGAAAGGTCTGGCTGGAGGAGAGAAGGAAGACAGGAGGGTGGCAACCAGTTAATGACAGCAGGGACGCAGCCTGGCCCCCAGCCC